TCAAAACTTACAAAAATGGTTTCGGTGGGACAACAAATATCAAAACAGAATTTAAGGTAACAAGTGATAACATCAGTAGTGTTTTCGAGTGAGTCATCTGTAAATAATTCACAGTTAGTCGTATGAAACATGTTTTTCAGATTTCGGATATTTTCTTCTGTGTAATTCCTATATTTGACTTTTCTGGTTTGACGTAGGAGTGTACTCTTCCCATGCTTTCCATATACTTTAGGTAGAACACGAATTATACAGTGATCTGAGCTAGACAATGGAGCACGTTTACGAGTCGCATATATACCCACATCATTAATGAAGACGAAGTCTAGATGAGCATCCAGACGGGTAGGAAAATCTACTACATTTTGGTGACCTAGTGACGTAAGGAAGCTACAGTCACATGAATTGAAATCACCACATACAACTGAAAGTGAATCACTGAAGGCAGTAACAGCGAACTCAGTGAATTCATCAGCAAAAACAGATAGTGCAGATGATGTGCAATCTGGAGTCACGTAGATATTGGTCACATAAACATATTTGTATTTATTCAGATGTTTCGGACGACATCTTAGAGTTAGACAGTCGATAAAGTCATTTGAAAACTTAAAACACACAAACGAAGATCGACACCAGTTTATGTTTACAAACGTAGCTACACCGCCACCACACCTCTTTTTATTGTTCGATCGATCCTGACGATAAATTTTAAAATCACGTAGTGATACAAGGCAGTCATCCTGTAAATCATTCAACCAAGATTCTTGAACTGTGATGACACCACAATTACGATACGTATTTTGACTAAGTAAGAATTGCAGATAGTCCACTTTGTTGATTAGTGATCGGCAGTTAGAATTTAGTAGCTCGGGAATTGACATATGATTAATGTTCATTCTCTTTAACGCATATTGCCAACCACCACGATGCCTTTTATAGTACTTTTTTGTAACTTGTGCAGCGGAAGGTCGTAGGCTTTTCATAAAAGCGCCTGAATAGGTTATGCGATTAATGGACATAATTATAAATTAAAACAAATGAAAAAACAGATAACTTGTTGAAATAATCAGATGGCAGAAACAGGTAGCCCAGATATTCAAGCAGTCTTCGACTTCGTCCAGAGAAATGTGACTTCTGTATGCAAAAAGTACGCTACCTTGGGTTTATAATCGACAAAGATGAGAGAAGACCAGATCCGGAGAATACCTAGGCAGTGAAAACTATGCCCAGACCGACGTATGTCCCCACACCACGATCCTTCTTGGGACTAGTTAGCCATTATGGAGCTTTTATTCCGAACCTTCATCAATTACGTGCCCCCTTGAATAACCTTCTGTCGAAGAATGTAAAATGGAATTGGTCTGCAACTTGCCAAGCTGCTTTCGATGAAATCAAGAAAGTACTAGTCTCGGATCTGCTGCTCACACATTACGATCCATCTTTACTCATTGTAGTGGCATCAGACGCGTCAAACTACGGCATTGGAGCAATTATTTCTCACATCATGCCAGATGGATCTGAGAAGGCGATATCACATGCGGCTAGATCGTTAACGTCAGCAGAACGTAACTATAGTCAGATCGAGAAGGAAGCATTGTCGATTATCTTCGCTGTCAAGAAATTTCACAAGATGATATTTGGACGTCAGTTCACCCTAATAACTGACCATAAACCATTACTAGCCATCTTTGGGTCGAAGAAAGGTATACCTGTATACACTGCAAACAGACTGCAACGTTGGGGAACTACACTCTTGGGTTATGACTTCAAGATCAAATACCAGCCCATTACTGATTTTGGACAAGCTGACGCTTTATCTAGACTGATTGGCTCACAAGCAAAACAGGAAGAAGACACTTCGGTGGCAGCAATCGAAACGGAAACAGAAGTACATCGAGTATTGGAAGACGCAGTCGATGGTTTACCAGTTACTTTCAAGGCCATCAAAGAAGCTACGGAAAGTGACAAGACTTTAAGAGAGGTTAGTGGTTATCTTCTCACCAAGTGGCCGAACCGTCGTTTTCAAGGAGAAATTCTACAATATTTTCGCCGACGGGACTCACTTATGATGGTCGACTAATGTATTATGTTTGGTGACAGAATTATTGTTCCAAAAGTATTACGCTACAAGGTTCTGAGACAATTCCACAGCGGTCATCCTGGTATCAATAAGATGAAAGCGCTGGCTCGAAGCTACGCATACTGGCCTACGATGGATCAGGATATCGAAACCAGATGCCGCAATTGTTCATCGTGCCTACAAGCAGCCAAAAGTCCAAGCAAGTGTGAACGGCAACAATGGGAAAAGCCGAATAGTCCCTGGGAGAGGCTGCATGCAGACTTTGCCGGTCTAATACGAGGAAGAATGTATCTAGTCATAGTAGACGCGCTCACAAAATGGCCACAAATCTACGCCATGGTGAATTGCACAGCCAGTGAAACAATCAGCAAGTTATCCGACCTGTTTAGCAGCTTTGGAGTTCCAGAGACTTTAGTGACCGATAACGGCTCACAACTCACTGCAGAATCATTCAAGTATTTCTGCAACGTTAATGGGATTGCACACATACGATCTCCACCGTATCACCCTCAATCAAAAGGCCAGGCAGATCGCTTCGTGGATACATTGAAAAGAGCACTACTGAAAGGGGGAGGTGAAGGGACGACAGGGCAGGTGATCACAAAGTTTTTGACATCCTACAGATCCACCCCGAACCCGAATGTTCCAGACGGCAAGTCCCCTGCGGAAGCCATGTTCGGAAGGTGTATTCGAACCGTCTTCGATGCCATGTTGCCATCCAAATTAGTGGATGAGCGCAGTCACGATCCAAGTATCCGGAACTGCAATGTTGGCGACAAAATTTACATTAAATCCTACATCGGGAAGAACCGATGGGAGCCGGGAGAAGTTGTACAAAGACTGGGAAGAGTTCTGTAGAGAGTTCGAGGAGCTTTTGGGACATGTATACGACACGCAAATCAAATCCTTAGGGACAAAAGAACGGTGCAGACTCGAAGTAACCGGCCGAACTTCCCGTTAGATTTAATCTTAGATGCACTAATGCCACAAATGCCCAGGAACACTGAAAAGAAGCCTTGGACAAGGAAAACGACAAGAATAATGGGACGCCGTCGCACCCCAGTCGTCAAACTACAAGTAGATCCCAGAAAGAAATCTTATTCGGGGGAGGTGTTGAGTCAGCTTCCGGAGAACTTCAACGGAGCCTCCAGAGGTCCAAAAGGAGCCGAAGGGTCCTAGCTAATCAGAGTATGATGGAACGTTCTGGAATTCCAACGTGGCGTGCTACTATTGGTCGGTAGCATAATATGTCGTTAACGGATTGGCTGAAATATGATGTTGATTTAATAGACGCCAGCATCTATAAATACCTATGATTTTCTGTACAAAAATGAACCTTGAGATAAAGTATTTTCTCTCATACATGTGTCTTCTCTCTGTTGTTCAAGTTGCTGTGTAGTTCTAGACTGCGGGTTACCGGAATAGCTTAGGAAAACGAATATAGCGTTCGATGGGCAAGACTTATCACAATCCAAAAAAATATCTGGAATCTGTTTATTATTATTTCATTTTAAACACATAAATATTAGTACAAAGGAGCACCAAATACATATGCGTCACGCAAGTCACTTGATTTGTGTATTGGCTGTGATACTGCCCATATGCCCAGACCGAGGCAGGTGGTTTACTTAGGGGAGCCACACTCGGAGTCTTCGACGTAAAGGTCTGATCCAAAAGGCAGTACAGCAACGTAAGGAGAAGCAGTCACGTGGTAGCCGATGACCGACGATTGGTTCATACACCATTTATTTCTTCAGAAAACTGGAGCCCATGTGCACCAAAGGTTTGGAATCAAGGTTTTCTAACTTCACTAGGCGGACCCTCCGTACCCACCACCGGTTAAAGCAACGTACATTCGCTTTTCCACCTCTCAATTTCGTAAACAGTAATGCCACGAGAAGGTAATGAGTAGGACTGCCCTGGCAGTGGTTGTATGCATTTGGCCATGTGAGAGCATTTCGAGAGGGAGAGCTGACTCTCCCCGCTCTAGGCCGTACCAGGGCATTTAGGGGCAAAGTGTGGCAACTGTCTGTTGCAGTGTAGAAGTGAAGGAATTATAGAGAAAGAAAAAAGCATATTGCACAACTAATTGATTGATGTGAAGAATTACAGTTGAAAGTATTTTATATGGTTATCTAACCTATCTAGTTGACGTAGATCCTATTTCATATTAAAAGGATCATAGAAACATTCGTAATTCGTAATTACCGTAAGCACATAAGCCAAAAATGGTATTTTATACAATAGGATTATTTAGCGCCGGTTGACAGACAACCAAAAACTTTTTCGAACAACGAGAAGCGTATTACGCTCACATGATTTTGAGATGGTGGAGAAGATTTGTAGCTCAGGTGGATGATTTTGGTGGTTTTGTTCTCTGAGTTGGATGGTTTGGTCGTGGAGCTCTCATCGTTCTTCTGAACGACATCATCAGCACAAACTTCAGATAGAAGTGAAGTGTTAGAATTTCTCCATATGTGTTTCACAGCTTGTTCTGTGCACCTCGATGTTGATTGGTTCTTATTGACCTTAAATTTATCATTGTTTACTTTTTTATTTTGGTTGTCTCCCATTGGTGTTTGATTTTTGTTCCAATATTTGTGCATGACTTTCCTGATTGGTTGATAAATTGGATTGATTTCAATATGTTTGTTGATTGCTGATTGACCTGAGTGCCAGGCTTCTGAAAATTCTCTGGTGTTTTTGGAGTTTCCTCTGTCTAAGATTTCTACATTTTTCTAATCGAATGAGTGCCCGTAGTTATCCACGTGTTTAGATATAAGTGAAGAGATATCATGGCGTTTGACTGCTAATTGATGTTCATGTAGGCGAAGGTGGCGTCCGCTTTGTCGGATGTAGTGTTTGTCGCAGTTGGTACAATTTATTTTGTAGATGATGTTTGATTTGTTTTCCTTTGTTATTTCATCATTTGGTTTGCATAGGATTGATTGTAGTGATTTTGTCGGTTTGTGTGTAACACCTATCCCGAAGGTTTTCAGCAGTCTCGTTGTGGTTTCTGATATTTCTTGTATGTACGGTAGGGTGATCCTTTTGTTGATTTTTGCGCTTGACTTGGGTTCTGATGCTTTGTGCGGTTGGTGTTTTTTGATGAAGTTGATTGGGTAGCCGTTCTTTTGAAATATGTCCTTCAAGTGTTTCTCTTCATTTTTTCGTGCTGCCAGTGTGCTGCATTGTGTCCTCGCCCTCTTGAACAATGTGTGTACGCAGTTGATTTTGTGAGCTATTGGGTTGTTGCTGTTGTAGTTGAGAATTTGACCTGTATGGGTCAGTTTCCTATATACTTGAGTTTCCAGTTTTCCTGTGTCGGTCCTAGTGATTAATATATCCAAGAATGCTAGTTGGTTGTTTGACTCCTGTTCCATTGTGAACTTGATGTCATTGAAAACGTTGTTGGTCAGTTTGTAAGTGCTTTCCAGTTCATTCTTCTCCACCATCTCAAAGACAACCAACAATACTCAGAAATGGATTTGCTCAAATTTAGAAGGAATGAAACATTCGTCTAACGACCAGACTAATGTGATTTAACTTATCAATTATACAGCTGTAAATGGATTACATTTAGCAACTAGTTTCATCATGTTTTAATATCACGGTATCAGTCAGTCAGCCACAACATAGGACCAGGCACATATATGCATCGGTCCAAGTTGCCATACCTCATTAACACAACAAGATCAACACCAAATTCATAAAAGTAGTTAATTCAGAGGTGGTAATATATAAAAGAAAGATTGCAATAAGGATATAGTACAGGAAGAAATTAGTTCGTAGAAAGAAAGATATGAAGCAATTTTAATCTCAGAGTTTAAGGGAAGACAGAGAATGTATACACCGACGCCATTGTGATCGATTCTGAGCCATGTTACTCACAGTCTCAAACCATTGGTTACGATAGTCACGCGGACCCCAACCAAGTAGTCTGCATCTATCAACATGGCTCAGACTAGAAGTTAGTGACTTTAAGCATTGATGCCGCGTTTTGGTTTGGCCGCCCCTAACCTTCTTCCAACCATCTCTAACACCGGTTAGCATTGCACGTCGTGGTAATCGGTGTTCGGGCATACGTAACACGTGACCCAACCATCCCAGTCGATGAAGATTAACAAACTCGTCAACTGATTTACCATCATTCCCTAATACCCTGCGTCTAACCCTACTATTACTTACCCGGTGATCCCAGCAGACGCCAGTAATATTTCTAAGGCATCTGTGGTCAAATACTAGTAGCTTACGAGTGTCATCTACTCTTAATGGCCATGTTTCGCTGCCGTAAATCAAAACAGAACGGACTGCCGCGCAGTATACTCATCCTTTTATTGATAGACGGATATCTCGCCTTCGCCAAAGGTGAAGATAACAGTGATATTAGTGTATATCTCAGGTAGTTATTATATGATAGAAGAGATAGACAGTTTAAAGGTATATTATAAATAATCAATAATTATTGATTTGAATTCACTATGTTGTAATGAAGGAAATATCTCTTACATAGTCATTACACAACTAAAGAATCATCATTTGTAAATTTACATGGTTTAAAATTGTTTTGTAGAATATAATTGCAATATTGAACAAACTTAAGGTTAGTAATTCTACATTTCATGTATCAGTCAGTTACAACGTACGACCACGCACATATATGCATCGGTCCAAGTTGCCATACCTCATTAGCACAACAAGATCAACACCAAATTCATAGAAGTCGTTACTTCAATGGCAGTAATATATAAAAGAAAGAGTGCATGTATGGCCATAGTACAGGAGGAAAGAATTAGTTCGTAGAAAGAAAGATATCAAGCAATTTTAATCTCAGAGTTTAAGGGAAGACAGAGAATAACGCCACTATGATCGATTCTGAGCCATGTCATCCAGAGTCTCCAACTATTGATTACGATAGTCTGCATCTATCAGCATGGCTAAGAGTAGAACTTAGCGACTTCAAGGATTGATGCCACGTTGTAGTTTGGCCGCTCCTAACTACATTTCATGTATACTTTAGTTAGAATCTTTAGTGTAGATTCTACACTTGGAGTATAGAGATAAATTTATGTCTTTACAGGCTTTGTTTAAGATTGCTTAATGAGTATTTAAAGAAAAAAGTGAATAACGCATTTACGAAATCCATCGTCTAGTAATCGGAAGACTTGATTATTCAAGAATACAAAACATTTTTTTAAGTCGTGTTACACCAAGTGATTGAATAAAAGTATACCGGTTCGATTTATTGTATTATCAGGATTATAATGATCATCATTGTCATTAACTGTTATAATCAAAGCCTATTCATGGCTAAACTTAGTATTAAACGGTTCCATAAAAGATTATTAACATCCAACATAACATCAGAATCGTCGATATATATGGACATAGATATATATATCAAATTGGACTTTTTCTCAAAAACTCCACCTGGAGACCCTCTGGGGTTACTGCCGATCGTAAACTCGGATAAAAGAGGATGATTGGGTATAGGGGGTTAGCTAACCCATCTCGTAGAAAATTAACTTTTTCTCAAAGAAATATATCAATGATTAACTTACTAATTTAGATGGATTATAAATTAATAATACTTGACTAATTGATGCAGGTGGTAGAAATGTTGTATAAGATGGAAGATTTTGTCCAGATGCAATAAGTTGTCGTATTTTAAAAGGCTACAAGAGTAAATAGAATCAATACAAGTTAGTATCTATTTGTTCAACTTAGCATAGCAAATTTTCAATTGAAACTATAGAAAAGAATTTACTTGAAATACAGTGCAAAAATCATCCGATTACAATTGACTTGATCAATGTTTTAGTAAAATCTAAGAACCATACCATAAATACTTCATTTACAAAATGTCAATTAATTGTCCTAGACTTCATTGTTCCTTTGTTTCTGATAAGTCTTGTTAATTTGAACACTTTATTCGGTTGCTAAGCTATTCTGGTAACCCTCAAGCTAGAACTACGCAGAGACCTGAACTCAAGAGAAAAGGCGCAAAATAAGCGAAAACAGTTTACCCAAAGGGTTCATTTTTGTACAGAAAAACACGGGTATTTATAAATGTTAACATTTGTTAAATCAACATCATATTTTGGCCAATCCGCTAAAAAATATATTATGCTACTGATCAATAGCAGCACGCCGCGTTGATATTCTAGAAAACACCATCATGCTCTGATTGGCTAGGACTTTTCGGCTCCGTTGCAGTTCTTGGAAAGCCGACTAAACAGTTTCCATAGTAATCGTTCTCTGTTCTCGTTCTCTTTCCTTCGACCATTTTTAACTTCCGGCCACTAGGCTTTTTACTTTCGATTGATGATATATACTACTTATATCTATCGACATCAGTAGCATACACCACAGTAGTAGTGTACTTACCCATTGTATGTTTGTAAACATGTGTTAAGTTAGATTCGTTTATTCACCACGTACTTATGTATGAGCCACATTCGAAGTATGAGAGCTAATAATACTACTTGGTTGCTTAAACTCAAGTGAGTGAGACATGGTTCGAACCTAAAACTTAGTGGTTGAAATTCGATTGTTTTTTAAAATAATATGTGTATTGGTGAACGATGATAAATTGCATTTTTATTTTTGACATACATTTACTTGTGTTTCTTGTGAAATTTATACGAAAACAATACACCTTTTTCGAAGGTTTAATAAACATTATAGAAGAATATGGTATTTCATGTCTAACAACGATGTAAAACGTAAACATATAAAATCATCGTAAAATATCCTGATATCAAATTAACAGAATAGCTAATCAAAGAAAACAAGACATAATTGGCTTTTAAAATATAAATCATCATAGTCATAAACATCATAATCAGAAAACGAGAAAACAGTTGTTTCGTGTGTGCGACACAAATTGTTACTAATAATTTTCCATCATTGAATCGAGTCATCATACTGACACCACAAACAGGATATGTTTATATCTTCCAGCACGACTTCATTCGACAGTCATTAATTTCATGGATTGATGTCACATATTTGTTGGACTGTTCCTAGTATTCCAGTTTACCTTACATGAGATATCAACAGGTTTAAGTATTTATTTATTTATTTAAACACAAAAATTAGTGCAAACATTCACAAAAATATAGATGCATCACACAAATTATCGAATTTTTGTTTAGGCTGAAATACTGTGCCCAAACAGGAACAGGTGGTTTTTTTAGGGGGCGATTCCCCGATTATTTGACCTAGAAATCTTATCCACAAGACAGTGGAGCAACGTTAGGAGATGCAGTCACATGGTAGCCAGCGACCAACAATAGATTCATATGCCATTAGTTCCCTCAGAGTCCTGGAGTCTATGTGCACTGCTGATTTAGAGTCGGGGTTTCCTAACTTGTCTAGGTAGATCCTCTGTGGCAATCAGCCCGGTTTCAGTGCCGGACATTTGCTTTCCGTCCTCTCAATTTCGTAAACAACATCTGTCGCGAGAAGACATTGAATAGGACATCCTTGGCAGTAACTGTATACGCGAGGTCGTGTGAGAGCATTTCAAAAGAGAGGAATCTCCCCACACTCAGGCGTACCAGTGTATTTGGGGTTCAAGTATACTATCATCTGATGTTGTTTGATGTGAACAACTTACATTCTTTTTCGTAAGCATTATGAGAGTGATGGATCAGTCTCTAATCACTAGTTTCAATTTAAAGGCCAATATATTCATATTCATGCCCCCCCCCAAATGCTGAGAGTGGGGAGAGTCAGCTCTTCTGCTCTAAATGCTCTAACATGGCCACATGCATACAACCACTGCCAGGGAAGTCCTACTCCTTGCCTTCTCGCACCACAGAGGTTGTTTACGAACTTGAGGGGACGAAAAACGAATGTCCGGTGCTTTAACCGGGTTGGTGGACACGAAGAGTTCACCTAGAGGATTTGGAAAACCCTGATTCCAAACTAATGGTGTACATGAACTCCAGTATCCTGCAGGGACAAATGGCGTATGAACCAATCGTAGATCACCGGCTACCATGGGACTGCATCTCCTTATGACGCTCCACTGCCTTGTGAATCAAACCTTTAGGTCAAAGGTACTGTTATTTTAAGTATGAGTTAAAGTGTATTCATAAAATGGTAATTTTGATTGATTTAGTTAGTTAGTTAGTTAGCAATCAACGAATTTTTTCATTCAATTCACATAGTAACCTTTAAAAAAAGAAACAAATGAACATGAGATAAAGTAAAAGTGATGATATGTTAAGGTTATCAAATTCGATAGTGTTGAATTTTCTGAAATGGATAGTTCATTGTTGTTTTGAACAACATGAGAGCTTATTATAGGTAGAAGTGAGTTTGTTTGTTTGTTTGTTTAAAAACAAGAGTGAATATTGTCCAGTCATTCAACTATATCCTTCATATGATACAACATACCTAAAATTGTTTAGATGAAGTTATAAATCTTCATCATCAGATATCCATACTAACTATAGGACTAACAGTGAACATGAAATGTTGCATACAAATTATAAACAATAATTATTATTTAATCATTTATTTATTTAAAAACATAAACATTGGTACAAGGAGACACCAAACAGATATGCTCCACATAAATCATTCGGTTTATATGAGGGCTGGGATACTGATCGGGTGCCCAGACCGAAGTGGGTGGTTTTCTTAGGAGGCCACACCCGGAGCCTTTGATCTAAAAGCCTAATCCACAACGCAGTGGAGCAACGTCAAGAAATGCAGTCCCAACGATTAGTTCATACGCCATTTATTTCCTTAGGATCCAAGACCTCATGTATATCATTGGTTTGGAATCAGGGTTTTCCAAATCCCTTAGGTGGATACTCCATATCGACCAACCCGGTTAAAGCGTCGGACAATAACAATAATAATAATAATAGTGTTTATTAATAATCTCACCTTTTCAACACCAAATCTAACATTGATTTCAGTAATGGGTAAAACATTTCGACTAGATATAACAGCAACAAAAACCATCACTTCAGGATGTGGTTTATTATTAGCGTAATGTAGTGTTAATTGTATGTTATAAGTATTATCATTACTGTCATTCTCTTGTGATATATCAGTTGGATAAAGTGTCAATGGTGTTTTATGTATTGAATGAGGTTGAACAGAAGAAAGTTGAATATCAAATGATTTAAGATCAATTACACTTTGTGTTGTAACTTCTGATGGTGTTACTTCTTCCACTTTGTGATTATTACTGGTGGGAGTGTTATTCATGCTTACAACTACGTCACTAATACATAGGGATGTGTTATCATCATCATCATCACCATCGGGTTTTACTTTACTTGGAGAATTATTTGCTAGTAATATTGATAGATTTGTATCTGTCAAAGCATTTGTTCTATGTAGATATGAAAGAAACGTAAATAGAATATTAAAACTACATAAAAAAATCCATCATGTAAATATATTATTTTTTCCGAAATGATTTGTGATGTAATTACTTACGCCTATTACTCTTCGTGGAGGAGCATAGGCTATCCACAATCACTCTCCATTCAACCCTGTCCTAGGCAATCCTTTCTAGCTCTTTCCAGTTATTATTCATCTTTTTCATATCTGCTTCTATTTCCCTACCTAATATGTTCTTTGGCCTTCCACTTTTCTGCTTCCCTTCACGATTCGAAGTTAGGACTTGCCTCGTGATGCAGTTTAGTGACTTTCGTAATGTATGTCTTATCCATCGTTTTTCCTAATCTCCTCATTAGTTGGAAGATGGTTTGTTCTCTCCCACATTAGGCTGTTGCTGATGGTATCTAGCCAATGTAGACAATTATTTATAAATACTTGTACCTTCTTGATGATGGTTGTGGTAGTAGTTCTCCAAGTTTGAGCTTCGTACAGTAGAACTTTCTTGACGTTCGTATTGAAGAGATTTTTGACTTGGAAACAATTAATTATCATCGATTGATATTAGTTACAGAAATATTGATAACCAAGGGACACTTATTATCAATCTTATTAGATGATCTTTGTGCTACACATCATCAATTGAATGGATATATATATATGGATTGACTCAGTGATCTTGATATATCATGCACACAGTGAAGTCTGAAAGTTCTCAACTCGATACTGCGTAGAGTAGTAGTAGCACAGTTTGTGTAAACACTACTTGGAAGACATGAGCATACGAATACCAACAATTTACTCAGTCTTCCTGCTCTTAAATATCTTAAAGTAGTACAAATCAAACTATTATTCAGTTTATTCTCATATTTATTAGTAGATCGACATTTAACCCGAATCACATGTGGATTAGTTTTTTTTAAAACCGAACAAGCTTTTTTTGTCCATGCTAACAGATCCGACCAAACCCCCAAAGAATCAGAGCTGATGAGACTACAAACGCAATTGAACCAGTTAAACCGCTTGATAAATTTGCTTCCTAAGGTCATATTCGACATCGATAAATGTCATTCTCGAAATAACACTTTGTAATTGGTGGAAAAGTAAATCATTGCAAATACTCTAATAATCCTCCATGAAATAATCAAAAGATTACGGATCACCAAAATAGAAATACATCATTAGAATTACAATAACATGAAAATCAGATCGCTAAATAAAGGATTAACTATGAATAGGTGAGGTTTGATTTGATGAAAGAGGTCAGTGCAAAAAGAGTTGCATTACCACAAATCATACAAAGACTTCTCTCAATGTAAGGTGACAATATTTATTCATCAATTGTTTGTTCGGAAAATTTTGATTCAGCCTCTTTGTCGCTTTGTAGTACATCACCATCCATTTACACATGAATGGTCATCATCCAGGAAATAATAAAAAAGGATTTCTACAAATAGATAAAAACGCAACGAGCAACACTTACTTTGATAAGTTAAGCATTTGACGACTCAAACAATCTAGTTCACTGAAGACGTTGGGATTGGAATTTACATAAGATCCATGTTCAGGAGACAAGGATTGTTTCGAAGTTTTGGAGTCTACAGAACTGAATACTGATGGGTAAAGCGTTGACGAAGTAGAGAGTACTGGGAGGAAAGAGAAAAGTAAAGATTAAGAATTCTTATTAGTGTTAGTAGTAGTATAGTTCATTGAAATAATAATTAGCAAATGAAATTATGAAACATCATTCCATTTGAATATTATCAATATAAAAAAGTGATACGCATTAGAAACCAGTAAGAATTAGATATCCATCTCGTCCTCTTATAATACTCTAAAGCACAAAACTTGCAACTCAATTCCCGACATGCCCGAAAGTGTTTCCAATGGATAGAATAACCAAAAATGTTACGGTACAAAAATATCATATATTATGGTTTCTGACAATGAAGAACAACTTCATTTACAATCGGTTTAAGAAATCCTATGGAGTAAACAACATCATTTATGTCAGGTCCCATGTAATCCTATATGAATAGCTATCTGTTATGACTGAAATAGAAATTGATGTCATTCGACTAATGGAATAGAGAAAAGAGGATAGATGATAATTTATGATACACCAAAAACAAATCAATAACATCTTAGTCCCATAGGAACTTTGTCGCTCAGTGGTAATGCCTCAAACTGTATCTTAGAGATATAGGTTCGAATTCCACCCGGAGAGTTAGCCTCCTTAATATTCCAGGTAAGTCTATGTAATGAGTGCTAACTAGCATGAAACCTAGTTCCAAGGTTTTCTTTTCACTATGTTCCACCACTTAACAAACCAACAACACATCATGAATATAATCTTTTCTATATGATTAATAGTTCGAATTTAAATAAATTTAAACAAGTACCATTTACAACTGCTTAATATCAATAACTTACTGGATGAAAACAATTTATAAGTTTCATAAGATCGAAATTTTACAACTAACATGAGTAACTGAATACTGCAATTATATTGTTGTCAATAATAATAATAATAATAATAATAATAATAACAGCTGTTGGTACATAGCATAGTACCATTCAATTAAAATAGTTTCGCAGTAAATTATTAACCCATTCACAGTGTTTCTTATTTTTATTTATTTAAACATATAAACATTGGTACAAGGAGGCACCAAATAGATATGCGCCACATAAACCATTCGATTTGTGTGAGAGGTGATTTTCTTAGGTGGCCACACTCGGAGCTTTCAACCTAATGGTTTGATCTACATGACAGTGGAACAACGTCAGGAGATGCAGTCCCATGATAGCCGGTGAACAACGATTGGTTCATACACCATTTATTCCTTCAGAATACTGGAGCCCATGTACACCATTGGTTTAGAATCAAGGTTTTCTTACTTCCCAGGGTGGATCCTCCGTACCCACCACCAGTTAAAGCACCGGACATTCGTTTTTCATCCTTTCAATTTCGTAAACACCCCCGCCACGAGAAGGCAATGAGTAGGACTTCCATGGCAGTGGTTGTATGCATGTGGCCATATGAGAGCATTAGAAACATCTGCAAAATTATGATAGATTCTAATCGACCTCACACAAAATCTCCAAACAATGATTATGATAACCATGTGGATCCCAACACGGTAGTCACTACCCACATACATGGCTCGGTCCAATAGATTTTATGAACTGATGCTTTAATTTGACCCCCACTAGCTTTCTTCCGACCTACTCCGACACCATTAAAATACAGCGCATCGAGGCGGTTGAGCATAAATAACACAAACCTCAGTCACCTCTCAATGAATAAAACTTCACTACCTGATTAATCGATTCGAAATAAAAGGATACTAAAAAGAGTAAAAATATTAAAGAGACTTACCTGTTGACCCAGAAGTCGTCGTCGTAGTAGTAGTAGAAGTATTAGTAGCATTTGTAGAAAAAATATCCTGTAAGTCATCATAGTTTGATTTTTTCCTAATACCAGGATTATTACCAATAAAATTGTTACTATTATTATTACTACTGTTTAATGAATATTTTGGTTCAATTGGACGCGATACTTGATTACATGACGAATTATGAAGATGATTAACAAGAAATGAATTTGAAGTATTCAATAATAAAACATCTGGAGAGTATAGATTAGCATTAGACGATGGGATAGGTGTGATTGAATCATCACATAAGCCTAAATTCATTAAATCTTGTGTTAAAAGATCAGTAATATGATTAGATGATGACAATTGATTTTCATTTGATGATAATTGAGAAGAAGAAGAATTATCCTTAGTTATAGATGATGATTTTGATGAGGATAATGACTTTTGTTTGGCTATTTTTTGTTCATAATTTGCTAAAACTTCACTAGCTTTGTCACATATTTGACCAATTTCAGCTAAAAAAAATTTATAACCGAGAAAAAAAAGATATAAATGTAAAAATACATATACCATTATTAAGACTGATAACTAATTATTTTTCAGTCAGTCAGTCAGTCAGTAACAACGTAGAACTTCGTACGTACGTACATCAGTTCGAGTTGTCATGCCACATTAGCACAGAGATGCAGTTGTCGATTCAAATCCCGTAGTGATAGAGGGTAATAAGAGTCTAAGCAGTAATTGGAAAGATTAAGGTTTGAAGATGTTATTCAAGGAGTATAATCCAGTGAAACAATTGAAGCTAGAACATCATGAAAAACCTGAACAGCCGTTTCGTCTTGATGTGAGACTCCTCAGAAGTGTGCATCAACGATCCCGCCTCGCGAGACTTTAACCCAGAACCTATTGGTTTCCATAGTGGTCTAGCTTCAATTAACTCATGATATCAACTATTAAAATTATTGTTTACTTATTTCGTTAACCATATAAACATTGGTACAAAAAGGCACCAAATATACATGTGCGACACTTCATCATTTAATTTTTGTAAAGGCTGGAATACTGCCCGGGCGCCCGAATCGGAGCAGGTAAGCATAAATTAACCAGTTGAATTGAGAAATACTAACAGAAGTAGTTGGTAATAATTATAAAATGATGTGGAAAATAAACCTTTATCAAATAAGGACAAATCATCGATCAATCCTTTGAACATACAGTTATGATATCAGATGGAAGAGCTTAAAAGGAACGTATATGAGTTACAAGAATTGATATGTGTTAATAAAAATAAATATAATTGGTTACTGAGTATGGATAAACAGTCAGGTAGCTTACTGACGATTAAATATGTGATTTCCTTTCCTCCTGTTGACTTCTATTCCGGAATTACTGAGAGCGACTGCTTGTGATTGTGTGGAATAAAGTATTATCTAGTCCATATGGTGGTTCTTTATTTCGGTCGTGAATCGGGTATCTGATATAACCTAATCTATTCTCTGTATAAAGGATCTTTCAAGTATCCAATCTTTTGATAGTATAAACTCGGTCACTTAAACCAGTCTTATTGAGTTATAGTCGCATTATAATAGTGGCGTAGTATATTGTGGTGACAAAAATATTTTATTCCAACCGTTGTATCAGATACACCCACTAGTTGTTCATCATCTAATTGTGATCTAAATGAAACGACAATTATCAAAATGATAACTGACTGTTTTAAGCATTATTATCTAATCAGCTAATCAGTCTTCAATCAATTGAATTACATATTAGAACTATGGTTCGTCTACTTTGGTTTAACTAACCCGACAGTATTGCCATAATAACTTGTAGTACGAAATTAAATTGGAAACTTGTAGATACTTTGATGGAGTTCGGTTCACTGAGCTGGATGGTTTGGTTGTGGAGCTTTCATCGTTCCTCTGAACGACATCATCGGCACAAACTCCAGGGATATATATACATAATTTATGTGTATTAACTCATCAACTCAACAAATCTATTTATCTAAACACATAAACATTGGTACAAGGAGGCACCAAATAGATATGCGCCACGTAAATCATTCGATTTGGGTGTGGGCTGGGATACTACCCGGGTGCCCAAATCAAAGCAGGTGGTCTTTTTAAGGGGATTACACTGGGAGCCTTTGACCTAAAGGTCTAATCCACAAGGCAGTGGAGCAAAGTCAAGAGATGTAGTCACGTGGTAGCCGGTGATCAACTACTGGTTCATACTCTATTTGTTCCCTCAGGATTCTGGAGCCCATGTGCACCATTAGTTCGAAATCAGAGTTTTCCAGCTCCCTTAGATGAATCCTCCATATCCACCAACTCGGTTAAAGCACCGGATATTCGCTTCTCATCTTCTCAATTTTGTAAAAAACACCCGTGGTACGAGAAAGCATTGAGTATGACCTTCCTGATAATGGTTGTAGGCATGTGGCCATGTGAGAGCATTTCGACAGGATGAGCTGACTCTCCCCACTCTCAGCTGTACCAGGGCATTCGACTACATCAACTCAATAGATTTAGATGAGTTAACGACCCAATAATTCATATGAATGTAAAACTATTTCCTAAATACAACTTAAAATTTGACAGAATATACAGCAATCATTATTTATTCCTCAAAAAAAAATAATTTCAATTTCTATAATTTGAAGAAGAAGAGGAAGAAAAAGAAAAAGAAAAAATAAACTTACTCAAAGTTTCAATATCTTGTTCTTCATGTGTTAAAGAGAAACTATATAATAATGGACGTGCTCTACGTATATTCTGTGTCAATTCCTGTATAAGAATTAAAAATAACGATAATGATGTATATGTACGTGTGTGACAAGTTAAGGATCAATTACGAAAGAATTACATGCTAATACAATTCACTGTACTATTAAATAATATCTCTAATGATTGCTTTAGTAAGTAAGTAAGTAGTTAATACATATATGCCGGTTGTTTGGATCTTCACATTGATGTATAGGTCTGAGATTAACCAGTCTTTTCTGGTATATATCTGTCCTGTGAGGGTTTTTTCGATGTCCCCATATAATTCACAAGCATTCTACACGGAGATGGATGATGGCTAGCTACATTGAACCCACCGGACATTGTAGCAGCACAAAGATCTTCCTATAGATGTCACTCCGCCTACGACAGCAGGAATCAGGATGGCTATCAGACTAATCAAAAGTAGAAAAGTAGAAGGACCTGACAATATACTAGTTGAAGCAATGAAGTCATACATAGAAGCAACAGCAAATATGCTCCAAGTTCTATTTAGGAAGATTTGGGAGGAAGAACAAGTGCCGGCAAACTGGAAAGAAGGATACCTCACCAAGACAATAAAGAAAGGAGATTGGAGCAAGTGTGCTGACTACAGAGACATCTCATTACTATCAGTGCTATGAAACATTTACAACAGAGTGTTGGTGAAAAGAATGAAAGATTAGGTAGACGCCCAGCTTCGAGACCAGTGAGCTAAATTCCATGAGGATCGATAACGTGCCGACAAAATCACCCCACAATGGGTCATCGTTAAATGTTCGATTAAATGGAACTCGTCACTATACATTAACTTCATTGACTGTGAGGTGTTTTACAGTATGGATATAATAACCCTAAATAAACTTCTTCGACAATATACTATAACTGGGAAGATTGTTAATATCATAAAGAATTCTTATGACCGAATATACTCAAAGTGGTGCATAAAGAACAGCTGACAGACATTCCAAGTAAGGACCGGAGTCAAACAAAGCTGTTTTCTCTCTTTCATTCTTTTGGTAGTTGACTGGATTATGAAGACCTCCACATCTCAAGAGAAGTATGGAATACAATGGACAGGTTGGACGCAACTAAACGATTTGGAGTTTGCAAGTGGCCTAGCTCTTCTATCCCATACACATAAACAAGTGCACACGAAGACAGCCAGTGTAGCAGCACCTTTTATCTGCAGCAGTAGGTCTCGACAAGGGAAAAAGCAAGATCTTCAAATAGAACACCACGAGCACCAATCCAATCACAGTTGATGGAGAAGCTCTGGAAAAGGTTGAAAATTTCACGTGCCTGGTCATTATTATCTATGAACGAGGAAGATATGATGCAAATGCGAATGAAAGGACAGCATTCCTACAGTTGAACAACATATGGAACTCGAAATAACTATCAACCAATATCAAAGTCACAATCTTTAATACAAACGTCAAGACAGTTCTACTGTACGGAGAAGAAACTTGCAGAACGACTACCACACCATCATCAAAAAAGACGAGTATTTTTAAGAAATGTCTATGCAAGATACTGAATTTCCGTTGACCGGATACCATCAGCAACAGTCTGTTGTGGGAGAGAGAAAATCAGCTTTCAGCTGAAGAGGAAATTAGGAAAATATAATATTACTATATAAGACTACCCATAATCTAGCTATTATGAAACATCAAGATAAGAGGTAGCCGTGCACTTATAACATAGATCTAGATCATCTCAGTCAATTTACGATGATCATCATTTATTTTCATACAGTTTTTTTAATAGGTAGGGGAAAAAACAAGGAAACAACCGACAAAGGGTCTAAGTAAGCTTCAAATTAACTACTCATTCCACCTTTAGGAAGATATTATTCTAGCCAACGGTCATGAAATAATCAGTCATTTCTTGAAATACATTCAATGAATTTATAATTGGTGTACTATGAAAGTTCATAAGTAAAAAACATATAGATTAATTACTTACACTCATCAATTCTAATTCAGCCTCAGTACTTTCACCTAATAAATATGTCCCAATCATTTCTTCTAATAATATTGTATTGTTCCTTAAAGCTTCCATTTCACTAGTTCTTTGACTTACTTTTTCCATACGTACTTGATCCTTTAAAATAAGTGTGTAATAGACACATAAATAAATAAATAGATACTTTCAACAAATGGTGAAATCAATGTAAATAATTCCACAAAATAAGAAAACACTATTTGCCTACTGATTTAATTTATGAGTAGTTAATGAACGTCAATAACAACAAAATGTACGGTTCGTTAGAGCAATGAGAAATTCCTGAAAAGATCAATTACATTTCACAACAAACTGTTTAGTTACATAATTTACTAATTAGTCAGTCACTATCAACACTGAACTGGATAGAAGATTATGGGTTGGTACAGGTCCCCTACTTCATAGATATTAGTATAATAATAAGTGATCTTCGATATTTAGAACACTAAATCAGTCAGTCAGTCAGCCAGCTACAACGTAGGACCAGGCACATATATACATCGGTCCAAGTTGCCATACCTCATTAACACAACAAGATCAACACCAAATTCATAAAAGTAGTTAATTCAGAGGTGGTAATATATAAAAGAAAGATTGCAATAAGGATATAGTACAGGAAGAAATTAGTTCGTAAAAAAGAAAGATATGAAGCAATTTTAATCTCAGAGGTTAGAGGAAGACAGAGAATGTATACGCTGACGCCATTGTGATCGATTCTGAGCCATGTCATCCAGAGTCTCCAACTATTGATTACGATAGTCACGTGGACCCCAACCAAGTAATCTGCATCTACCAAACTGGCTAACACTAGAAGTTAGTGACTTCAAGGACTAATGCCACGTTGTGGTTTGGCCTCCTCTAACATTCTTCCGACCATCCTCTAACAATAGTCAGCATTGCGCGTCGTGCTAGTCGGTGTTCAGGTACATGTAACACGTGACCGAACCATCCCAGTCGATGAAGATTCATAACCTCATCAACTGATTTACCATCATTTCCTAATACCTAGCGTCTAACCTCACTATTACTTACCCGGTGATCCCAGCAGACGCCAGCAATATTTCTAAGGCATCTGTGGTCAAATACTAGTAGCTTACGAGTATCTTCTACTCTTAATGGCCATGCTTCGCTATCCTTAGTTCAGGTGTTGACGCAGACCAGTCCTGAAGCAGCAGCTTGCATTTAGAGGGAGAGAAGCGCATTCCAAACATTCTGGCATTGTTGCTTAGTGCTACCAAAAGACTGCATTTTATCAGCGTCTTCACGAAACAGGACTATATCATCTGCGTATTCTAAGTCGATCAATGTAACATCACTAGTTATCTTGATCACTGAGTTATCTTGTATTACTCGATCATACACTATTTGAGTGATTTAATCGATTAAATGTAGTTGTACGACAAGTAACGAGAAACAAATAGATACTTTGACATCATCACTTTAACGAAGCAAAAATTTATAGATCAATCTCCAAATTCATTTTCATTTGAACTAATAAGGATATATGATGTAAATTGTTACAAATTGTCACATAAGAACTATTTTGAATCGCAATTAGGATTAATAACTTTGACCCGGCTACTAGACATAAGTGATGATGATATTACATACAGGTCAGACAGAGTCAACAATAATGTACTCAATAAAAAATTATATTAAGTAAGAATACAATATACATGTAAGCGCTTTACATATCAGTATACACTCTCCAGAAAAGAGTTGATTGATAATGCTATGAGTGTTTATCAACTGGAGAGGTATATATATATGTATATGGATAACTACCGCGTTACTCCTAAATTACAGTACTGTCTACTACAGAAGTAGGTTCAGAAAAGGATAAAAGAGGTGAAACTAGGATACGACATGAGTTCACCAAATCATTAATTAAAGGTCTAAGCCATGTGTCAGTACATTTAGGTATCCTATTTCAGTTTTGAGCAATAGCTGTAATCTGTGTTGAAGGTTTTATGTGACATGATTCTGTATTAAAAACAATCATGAGAGTCAAGCTTGACAGACTATTTTCTAGAATTGTTCAGCTTTTGATAATCGTAAATTTTCGAGTTTAGAAACCGGTTAACAAGTTGGTATCACATGAGTTATGTATATGAGGCTTTACCAATATTATCAAAACCTCCATTCAAATGATTTACATTCATATATTAAGTGAATGGAATGGTATCATCTTATTCCAAAAATCGAAATACCCATCTTTCTTTTAATACAATGAAATTAAAATAAGTAGACTATTCATATCAACGAACTCACTTCTTCAACTATACTCTTGATAAGCGCATTCGCTTCACGTAGATCAGCTGGATTACGACTACGAAGTAATTGGGTTAAACGCTAAAAAAAAAGAAGTTTAAAAGTCATTTTATTTAGTTATAAATTTAAGCGTAGTAAATTGATTCAATCATTTGATTCTTAATTGTTAGGTTGTAAATATGAATCACGCTAAATCTATTTCATTTTTGAGCACTCAAATTGGTGTCAATAAACTTCGCAAAACATTAGTTAATACGATACTTGACTAATTGGAAATGTGTCAACTTCATAAGTCTAAAACATGACTGGACTATTCCCGATTAAATACACATTCACAAGCGTTATTATTATTATTATGGAATTAAATGGTTTTATGTTTTAGAATGATAAGTTTTATTCTAACAATGAAAGTGGAGGTGAGAACTAACAACTATCGAAAACAAGGGCTATAGATTTTGGACAACCATTAAAAGAGCTGACCAATACACAGTTCAATAATATTATATACAAATATAACTCAATGAAGAAAAAACTAATCAATGAACTATCTATGGGAGATAACGTTACTTTCAGTCAAAGAGATATTATGATAGAAATTCTATTATGATAGCAGAGAATGAAACAGTAGTGCAAAAGTTTTAGCAACCATTATGAGAACAGTGTCAGACAATCAGCTACAATATAGGATCAGGCACATATATGTATCGGTCCAAGTTGACACGCTTCACTAGCACAAAAAGATGAACACAAAATTCATAGAAGCAGTTAATTCAATGGTAGAAATGTAAAATATAGATTGCATATGAGGATATAAAACAGGAAGAAGGGATTAGTTCGTAGAAAGATAGATATAAAACAATTTTAATCTCAGAGGTTAGAGGAAGACAGAGAATGTATACGCTGACGCCATTGTGATCGATTCTGAGCCATGTCATCCAGAGTCTCCAACTATTGATTACGATAGTCACGTGGACCCCAACCAAGTAATCTGCATCTACCAAACTGGCTAACACTACAAGTTAGTGACTTCAAGGACTAATGCCACGTTGTGGTTTGGCCGCCTCTAACATTCTTTCAACCGTCCCCACCATTCATCAGTATTGCGCGTCGTGCTAGTCGGTGTTCAGGCATACGTAACACGTGATCGAACCATATTAATCGATGAAGATTTACAACCTCATCAATTGATTTACCATTATTCAATATGGAAACTCAAAACCAGGTGAATTGAATATTGAGTTATTGAAACATCTATTTTTTCTGGTTGAAAAATATGGTTATATATCTGCTTATTACTTTGGAAACAATTTAATAAATGTTTCGTCACATGTTGTAAAACCTACATGAGAACTAAATATTTAACATATTTTATTATCCTGATAGTTGTGGGATTTTTTTTCAACTCAATCAAAAGATCATTGTGGAGAAGAAGAAGATTGTAAGAAATAAAACAACTCCCGCAAGACTTATCGATTTTCAATGTAAGCAAAATCAAAAAGAGGGTTGAACAGTAGACAAACTAGGGATGGAACAATTGTGCCAAGGTTGTATTTGGTTTAGTAATATGTGAAAATTTCTTTTTTTATGTGAGCCGTATTTTCCAATCTAAATAATTACCTTCAAAAGAAAAGGTTTACCTCAGTATTTTTGAGAAAAAATTAGCCTACATTTCGCGCTAGTAAGACGGTTTCAGTCGGAAGAAGGAAGAAAGGCACGGTATTTATTAAATTGAAGAATATATAAAACAAGTTAAAGGTCCCACCGTCTAACTAATGTTGCCAAAGTAGGATCGTTTTGTAGGCGGAGGTGGTATCAAGTCCAAAAACTAGGCTTAACAGTCATGTCTTGATTAACCAGGAAATGAGCAAACTATAAGCTCATTTCCTCCGACCAGTCGACATTTCATTATGTTTATTTTGGGCTTGTTTTCTGTACAGAAGTACGTTATTTCATTGTAGAAAAACCTATTCATCTGGCTAATGATTTTGATCGTAACATCAAAATATTCAAAGCTTTAAGTAAGTGATACGGCCCGTAAGCAGCCATCACTCGGTCACATCACATTATTGTGCTTATCTATCGATTACCATTCTAGTCATTAGCTTTAAAAATCGAACTTTTTGTCATTTTAGTTATTAAAAGCTTCCACCATGACAACTTTTTTTCACAAATAACACTTACCTCTGATTTTTTGTTACGTTCAAAAATATTTTGCCTATTTTCAGCGGCTGAAGAGCCTGAGCGACAAATCTGCAAGCAAAGAGAACGAAACGAAAATATTACATAAGTAAAAAAGAGATAATGTACCGTACGTTACTCTTTATATTAGAAATAAAGTGTCACTAGACGCTTAAATGCAGCTTGGGAACAGGTAATCTAATAAAACCAAGCAAGTTTTGATCCTGGCTACGGATCTGTTGACCAAACCTTTACCCATAGGTAGATCCTAGAAAACAGATGCCGCCGTCCAAATGTAATCATATTCCCCCACCTAGAGACAGCATTCAACTCTGTTGGCTGAGGAGTCCTGGTACGACGGATATAAGCCTGTAAGAATTTTACTCAAATACTATTCGTCGACTGAGATTTTGTGACGAAGAGTAATTTGAAATAGCCACATCATGTGGTATATGCCAGGGTAGCTCACTATCTCCACTTTTAGTTAATTCTGTTATACATATTATGCCATAAATTATCGACTCAAAAATCCAATTAATTGGTTTATGATACCTAACACCTAACCAGTTCTCGTGTCACTCAAATAAATCGATTCAAAATACGAGTCGTGAAGTCATATCTGATACAAATATATACCGGTTCTAACCTTTACAAATCTCACAATCATCTCACAGTTACAAGTCAAAGGAGGTAAAGTAATGACGTCAGAAGTAGTTGTAAACTAAAAATAAACAGAAATATATTGGGAAAAACAAATGAAATTGGAGCACGGAAAATATGAAGTCATCCAATGTCTGGCGCTTTAATCCGGCCGGTGGACACTGTGAGTTCATCTAGGGGAGTTGAGAAACTCTGATTCCGAACCAATGGTGAACATGGGCTCCGGTATCCTGAAGGAACAAATGGCGTATGAACCAATTGTTGGTCACCGGCTACCATGGGACTGCATCTCCTCAAGATGCTCCACTGCCTTGTGGGTCAGACCTTTAGGTCAAAGGCTCCGAGTGTGGTCCCCTTAAGAAAACCACCGGCTTTGATTCGGGCACCCGGGCAGTATCACAGCCCACACATAAATTAGAATGAAATGAAAATATTTAATAGAAATTCTATTGTTGTTTCAATTAAAATTCATACAACTCATAACCATTTGATAACATTATTTTTTTATTTTTTATATACTACGTCACTTATATACTCTCTTCTATTTCCACCCTTTGTATCCTTATTTTTCAACTTATACAGCAGCTCGCCTATGGTGGAAACTCTTTAGACGACTCTGTGTTCGATCATCGTTGTCTCCGAAGGATTGCTGACATCCAGTGGCAACACCATGTTAGTAATGCAGTGGTTCGGCATCGTGTGTTTGGGCGCAGAGAGAATAATACAATTGGTGTCACCATCTCGAAACACCGACTTCAGTGGCTTGGATATGTTCTATGAATGTCGTCCCAGAGGATTCCATGTCGTGCATTATTTGCCGACTCTGAGACTGGTTGGAAAAAGTGGAGAGGTGGTCAGTGTATGACATGGTGTTGTAGTATGAAAGAAAGCTGCTGGCTTCTATTGGTCCTTCTCAACTCCCTGGGTGGGTTCCGAGAGACGGTGCAACACAGTGGCTAGAGACGTTATCAGGTATGGCTCAGAATAGAAACCAGTGTTGATCCTGCAGTAACCTTCGTTTACTTTCTTTATAAAAAGTGGTTGTATCTTCCTTAACTGAAAGATTTCTTCTGGTTGTATCTTTCCGCTTCCCCTATTATTATCATTATTATTATGACACTAACTTACACTAATCTGGTCGTTATTGTTCCTCGTGTTACGTATGCCTGAAGACCGATTACCACGACGTGCAATGCTAACCGGTGTTCGGGATGATTGAAAGAAAGTAAGGGGCGGCCAAACCAAAACGTGGCATCAGTGCCTGAAGTCACTAACTTCTAGTCTGAGCCATGTTGGTAGATGCAGACTACTTGGTTGGGGTCCGCGTGACTATCGTAACCAATGGTTGGAGACTCTTGGTGACATGGCTCAGAATCGATCACAATGGCGTCGGTGTATACACTTCCTGTCTTCCCTTAAACTAAGAGACTAAAATCGCTTCATATCTTTCTTTCTACGAACCAATTCTTTCTTCTTGTACTATATCTCTATATGCAATCTTTCTCTTACATATTACTACCTTTGACCTAACCATTGCTATGAATCCAGTGTTCATCTTGTTGTGCTGATGCGGTATGGCAACCTGGACAGATGCATATATGTGCCTGGTCCTACGTTGTAGCTGACTGACTGACTGTTCCTCTTTTTTACGCTCTTCACCTTCCTTTTTTTCTTTCCCCATTCTCATTGTTTTGTGTGGAGCATATATATTTGGTGCCTCCTTATACCAATGTTTATGTTTTCAAACAATCGAACGTTAATTCAGTTAACTAATTTACCAAGCTACAGTTCATACTGCTTAGCTTTAAGCTGGACTTCCTGTCCAATGAAGATACCCAAGAATCCAGACAGAAAAAGGTGGATCATATATTTAAATCTTAAATCCTATATGGAATAACTTGATCATGTCAAGGTTAAGATCATCTAATTAAAAGCAATCATATTGCTTAGAGAGAATCTTAAGTGAATAACGTTCAACATTATCGATAATCTTATCTCCTAGAACAGTACCATGTTGATACATGCACAAAAATTCACTAAATGACACACACACACGTCAGCTATTCCAGACAAATGTGAAATCCCATCACAATTGTCACTACTTTATACTGTTATATTGATAAGTCCTACTTATTTTAACAATAATACATCTGAATGAATGAAGAAGAAAAAGAAGGTCAATATTATTGAATTAATAAGACATAAAAACTATAAAAGTCGTCGAATATCTTACGAACAAATTGTTTGTCAAAAAAAAATCAGTTAGAATATTGTCAATAAATTAGTTCCACACCTTTACCGTACTAGTAATCATTTTACCAATTTTAAACATTTTACAAAATATTTGTTTAGGAAGATATAGTATATATAGTTTATTTTTAAAAATTGTATTTAACATATTCCTTGAAGGAAATGAACAAAGTTATTACCATGAGCAATAACAATTCGAAATATAACTGATACTTTGACAATACTTTCCAATCACCCAATTCAACGTTGAGTTGAAACTGTCATTGAGTCAGTTTTATTTAGTGCAGAATCTAGCGTATGCACTGGTATAATTTCTCTTATTACAACCCAGCTATTCCTATTGCTTGGTATTCTTGGACATCAATTTACTCGATAAGTCCCCAAATCAAAATACGGTTGAACAATCTTGCACGGAATGTGCTTTAAACCAATCTATATTCCGCTAACATACATCCATCAACCTAACTCGTCACACTGCTGAGGTTAAATTATCAAGGCGATTACTAACGTAGTAGAAGTACCAATAGTATCAAGGATAGTAAAAAACGATTGGACAGAAAATATTATTCAGAAAAGAATGGATTCCCGGAATAAAAGGTATGAAGTAGTTTTAAAACTCAGGATCTAAAGAGTGAATACATCTGTACTCTTGAGGAAGAACCTAAGTTACATCACATTTCACCAATCATTAATTACGATAATCACGCGCAAACCAACTAAATAGTCTGAACCTAGCTAAGTGGATGCTGTTAGTAATGAAGAGATCCGGCAATGTATGTTTTGAAGCAGAAACGATAATTCAATCGGTGTCACCATCTTCAAACATCGACTACGGTGTCTTGGATATGTACTAAGAATGTCGCACATTATTTACTGACGCTGAGACTGATTGGGAAAAGTGATGTGGTCAGTGTCGGACATGCTGTCGTAGTTCAAATGACAGCTGTACAGGACTGGCTTCTGTTGATCCTTAACGACTTCCTAGTTGGGGTCCTAGAGATCGTGCAACACCGGCTTTAAATGTTATTAGAAATAGCTCAGAATAGAAGCCAGTGGTAAACCTGCTTTAACTTGTTTTTACTTTCTTCACATAAGTGAGAGGAACTTTAATTGAAATTCTTCCCGGTTGTATTTTTCCCAAATGAACTGCTTCTCTAATTATTATTATCATTTCATTCCCCTACACTAACTTCTATTCGCTTTTGTCCATTTTTCTATTTTACTGACCATCCTTTCTCTATCCCTCCACCTTGTTTTTATTGTGTGGCACATAAATTTTGGTAGCCCTTGTACCAATACTTTCGTCTGAACGAATAAATAATAGACACATATAACTGAATAATAGTAACCTACAAATATCCTAGATTCCCAATGACCATGTTACACGCTAATAAAACAGACCAGAACGAATTGCCGAGCAATAAACTCGTCTTTTGATTGACGGACAAATACTTTGATTACGCCACAAGTGGTGCACGTTGGCAAAAGTCAATCAAGCTTTCTAATTCCGCGCCACATTTTGTCAGACACTAGCCCATCTGGGCTGAAGAGACTCCCAAGATAAGTCGAGCGGTCGATAAGCCCAACTACTTCACTCCTTACCAATAATTTGAGAGCTGAGCCAGGCCGGTCATAAAACAATGTTTTACATTTGAATGGAGAGAATGAGGTCCCAAACATCCATACATTGTTGTCTCATATTGTCAAAAGACCGCATTTTTCTAGTATTCACCAGAAAACTACATCATTTGAATATTCTAAGTCAACAAGTGAATATCCTGGAAAAACATCAATACCTAAAAACCTAGATGATAGTGTTATCGCTAAAAGCATTTCTATGACGAATTCGGGTCAAGATGGGGAAAGTGAGGGTTCCCCCTGAACGCCACATGAAGTAATTACTTCTGATGACAGTTTGTGATAAGTTCTGACTAGACCAGTACTGTTTGAGTCAGTACACGGCTGAATAAACCCCCTGGACTCCACCCTTAGTAAGATAGGTGCGTAACGTTTGTTCACTGAATTATGAGTTGCAAACCACTTTGCCTATTTTGATTTAAGTATTTAGGAACTATCACCAGGCAACGCGTATTGGGGCTGAGTTAATCGCATGAAGACAGATTTCATTGCTGATGGTCGATTCCCAATACTTTGTCTCATATCACAAACAATCCAATAATTTTATATTACGATTTCAGTTTGAAAGATAGTGAATATTACCTCTGAAACGGAGTCAGTAGAAACTATCTGACTTGCAGTTATAATACCTTCTCGAACAAGCATATTGTATGCCTCAGCAAACTTCGGTTCATTTGGTGAGAAATCACGTTGCCAATTATGAAGCAACTGAGCACATTTGTTTTTTACACATGAAGATGTCTGGTCACCAAGATACTAAAAAGTAAAAAAACCAGAAGTTGTAGAAATGTGAAATGTGTACTGACTGAAATTTTAGTTATAAACAAAGGGAATTAAAAACGCAAAAGTTCGCAGTATTTAAAGCCATATAATAAAGTATAAAAGAACACATGTTAAACCAGATGATAGTTTACACTGAAAGTTAACGATAAACGAAAGTAGGGGTCGTTTATATTATCAAATATTATAACAGCACACGGAAGGGAATTGAACAGAAACAATCGAAAAATATACGGAGAACGTCGGATAATGTCAAATAAAACAGTTGATCTTGAAGCATAGATGAAACTAAAACTTATAGAACGAGACAAAGTGAACTGCAATCCAGTACGACTAACCGTAAGAAGACAATCGAACATTACAAGTGCCGTAATTCAGCAGAATATAAAGGTCTCTCATATCAGTCAGGACGTTTTATCCGCATTTAATTCAACAGTTTTTAAAAGACTTTCACATGAGAGAAGCAGTCAACCTACAAAACTATTGAAGTAATAATAAAGACGGATTCGGACAAAAATATTTCACAGAACTTATTCACTAGTTCTAGTGTTAGGTGGGCTTATTATTGCTGTTTGTAAAAGAACTGGCGAAAAATATCATATCACTTTAAGAACAAATGGAAATTAAGGCTGAAATTTTACTACAACTGACTAAGAAAGGACAATAACATGGAAGAAGCTTCAGGATGTTCAGACCGACACATGGGAAAAATAGTGCGACCTATGACTGCTGGTCTCTCACACGGCAAATTTTATAAAAATTTAGTAATTTTCAACTTTACCTTGGGCGAAAGAACTTTGATTAGTTCGTTGAGAAACTTGAACTTTCCGAGTTCGGATATAAATGTTGGACCACAACGCTTGGATAAAAACTCTAACAGCTAAAACTTATAAAAGAGCAATAACTATTACCATTAAAGAGCTAAGAGCTTCTTTTTCATGTGGAGACTTAATTTTATGGGCAAGAAGTCGAAGAGTAAAGATTGGACCATTAGGTTGAGTATCAATCAGCTTTGCAATTTCATTCACGGTGTCAGAGTCATACTGATCTGATATCGGGTTTGTAGCTTTACCTACAATAAAGTTTTGCGTAAATAGAAACACTCGATACTAACTTAATAACTTCTCCAGCTCATTCATTACCACTAGTCTTTTTACAAGAGCCGCACTAACTCAAATTATCCGCTGACCTTTCAGAACCCAAACCTCAACCTTTGAACTTTCAGTCTGGAAACAGTAAACTGGTTGTACTTTGGACGCTTCATTCCAATAATATGATGACGTTCATCACTAAAAATAAGTATTGTTTTTGTCTGAATCCTCCATAGTTATTAAATGATAAAAGCACTAGGAAGTAGTAAGAAAACACGAAGCTACTCCTTAAAACGTCAATGGAGTATTTATTGCATCAAAGAAGATTTGTTCGAAGTTAACTTAATTCATTTCATCTGCGGTCTGAAATTTTCTTCAAACCCGTTTTGTCTTACCCTTTTTAGTTGATTATCACACTAGTGAGGTTCAAAATAGAGATTAATCCACGAAAGTCCCAAAGTAAGTCAATATTTAACCCCAGCGTAGTTGAAAAAAGTTTGATCTCGTCAAGCATTGTGAGCGATTTGCTTGAATCAATCGACTTTAATCCAAAAAAACAAAGAAAATTTCCTAGTAGATGACAGGGAGAAAACGACAACAATACTTTCAAAGGAGTCAAATCCGTTTCTATTCTAATTATCTGCAATTTGAAGGAGTCTAGAGAAAGTGACCCCGCTCAAAGGCACGTACACGACTTCGATTCAGTGTTGACTTTATCATCCAAAATATGCTGGAAGAGGTTTGAGGGATGCATAACACTGAAGTAATAAGACTAAGTGGGTTGGATCTGAGACACGACCGAGAAGAATCCTGAAGTTCTAACTGAGAAATTACGAAGAAAGAGACGTTATAATGAATAACGCAAAAGATCTCTAAATTTGAATATTCGTATTCTATCACATTGGGAACCGAATCAAATGGAAAAATGCCTTTACTAAATTAAAAAACTCGGGAGCGAGAAGGCAAAACAAACATTACCACTGAGGGTTTTTGGGGTAAAAAGTCTCTGGGGTTGGTGTTCCCGAGACTTGTGTGGGAAAAATAAGTGATTCTCATGACACCTTCAGTGGGTGCTACACAAGCGCTGGTATTATTAGAAATGAAACGTCCGAGTAAATTTTTATGGTAGATGAATTAAGTGCCGATATAACTGTTATCACAAAAACGTGGATTTGAGCAAAAATAGACTGCTTCCCACTTATTTCGAGCTACATCTGTAATAGAAGTGATAGAATTAAAAATCAAGTGGGAGGTGACATAATATTGTGTTACAGTCTATTTACGCGTACAGTCGAGCACATTAGACGCGCATGACAGTGGTACGTATGAAGTAGCTTGTTGTACAATGAAATCTGGACACGGATTAGCGGTTATAGGAGGGATACAACGTAGTTCACCATGGTTAGAGCCGTACAACTCCTGAAAGACACATAATAGCCGTACATGCCCAAAAAAGATTGTTTTCGTACGTTAAATGAAGGATAAATAGTAGTGATGGTATTCCTCCATTACTATTGGGCGACAATTCAAATATACCAGCTCAGCCAAACCTGGTCAGCGGAGTTTACTCTACGGGTGTTGTAAATAATACTTATCATAACGACACTATCGACATACTAGCTATAGGGCCTGTACATTTAAATGAGGAAGCTATTCGTCAATTGATCACTAACCTTAGACCCATTTAGACCTGGGGTACTGAAAGGTGACAACCGTAATTGCTGTCATATTTCACAAACATTATTTCACGACCACTCACCACACTATTCAACATATTCCATTCCTACAGTCAACAGCCAAGAGATTGGTCTTATGTTTAAATGTGGAAAGAGACAAATTGTGTCTAACTACTGACCTGTCAGCCTGACCGGCATGAAAATTAAGTTAAATGAAAAAAATTAATCGTGTTGAGTTAGTGAGTCACATAGAATCATACGATCATCTAACTTCCGAGCAACCTAAGATTCAAAATTAGTGTTATATCCCAACGAAGAATAAATGGACGTTAGCTGCTAGGAGCTATTCTTAGGGTGTTGTTGCAGGCATATACTTGATGGATAACTGTTAAGTAACTATAATATATACATTTATATTACCTTTACCATTATATTCCATTTTACCTAATAACTATTATTATACGATTTGCTGATCTTAAGTTTTCCCCACTTTATTAAACACAGACCCCAACAATTACAGCTACATTTTATCCTAGGCTTGCATAATTGCTTTTTTTATTTTATGGTTTGTTGAGGTCTGATTTGTTTGTATATAAACTCATACAGTGTAAGCTGAGTTTGTTTTTGTAATACTTTGGGTGGATTGGTTAAGAGTTGACCGTAAACGTTTACGTAGGCATCATAACATTATAGCTTAAGTATTCACTCACTTCCTTACTTTGTATAGGAATTGTATTTCCTGATATTTAATGTTGAAAATCTCTGTGTATTCGAAATAATAACCTCGATTTCAACTACGTCTTCCAAGGTTTAAAACTAAATAACTACTCAATAAAACATTTGTTACATGTTCTAGACTCAAACAGATAGATCTGGGCGGGAAGAACAGATAAGGACTAAGAGTTGAAACTAGGTTCCTCGTAGTGGTTGACGCGTCGTTGGTTTGGCACAGTGCAAAGGTTACACAAGTCATATTTTAATTGGCGATCTGTTCACACGATAATTCACAGGGCGAAACTCATAACAATAAACATCTATGTTTAACGAACTAACTTGTTTCAAGAGAGAATTAAACAATATCACAAACAGTTGTCTGTCTCTTTATATGATATTCATAGATTTTAGCGGAGCATTTTATAAGGTTTATCATTTGGGTTAAACACAGAAGCTCCCAAGCTCCGGAATAACAGGTGCTGTATAGGAATTGATATGACACTTCCTTTGAGGCCGACAACTTAGAGTGGAAGTAAGTGGAACATTATCTGCATGAGGGCCGGTCGGAAATGGCGAACCCAAGGCACCATCTCAGATCCCCTAACATTCCTTCTCTACTCCAACGACTTATCGCGACCACTTAAGTCATCACCATTATGGTTTGTATATGTCAAAATCTATAGAACAACAAGTGGTGAGGCTGATAGTTGTCTCCAAACTGACCTGGACGACTTAGTTATACGGTCGCAAAGTTGGGATTTAGAAATTAATTTTAGGAAGAGCGTGCTCATGCACATGGAGCACGGTAATAATTATAAGTATACCATCAATGGCATCTCGCTTCTGTGTGTGCAAATACATAAAGACTTGAGGGTTGTAGTTAGTCACGACTTGGAAACAACTGCGCATTGGGACGCAGCAGCCGCAAAAGGCTTTCGAAAGTTATGGTCACTGCTGCAAGCATTCAAATACCCTGAAAAGGAGACGTTTGAAATTTTATATCTCACCTATGTAAGACCACACCTAGAGAACTGTACCCCAGCAGCCAATTTATGTCATATTAAACAAACCAGCACACTGCAAAAATTAGTAGAGGACCTTTCGAAAGTTCCTAATGATTAGCACTTAAAACACACAAACCTTTCCACCTTATCATATCGTAAAACGCGGGATGAACTTATATTGGCAATGCGAATCTTTAATAACGATTTGGGTCTAATCCCTTTGCTCTGTCCAGCAGTAATCATCTCCAAAAACATAGCAAGAAGGTTTGAAACCCGTGATAAATGAGATTATAACTTACGGACGTACCAATCAGATTCACGATGATAGGTTTCAAATTTTGTGACGAAATTCATCTAAACGTATGCCTGACTAGCGTTTGGGTATTTTAGCTCATGTCGGTTAGTGGTGAGAACCCCGAATCTAGCACTTAACCCTAACTATCAACTGTTAATCATAATTCTAATTCCTCACAGAGATTTATAACCCTAGGAAGTAGGTTAACATTCTCTAGGTCACTTTAGCATCGCTCAAAGGTCGTCCGTAAACTATGCTCTCATTCACGTACTATCAGCCCCACCAGTGAACATTTCCAAGGAGAAGCTGGACCACACTTGAAAAAGCTTCGAGGATTAATAAAGGACAGCCGGCCTGTCAATTTCGTTACTCGGTATTCGCAATATGGTGAGGGCTGAATTTTGATACGTCGTAGGGTACGAAACTTCGGCTTACAGAAAAGTTTGTAGATCCTTTAATTTGTTCGAAAAATATGGATTTGAATTCCTACACGAGCCGGCCTACAAACATCATGCTTTTAGTTAAACTGATTACCACTCGACCGCAGACAGCTGATGTTTCTCTTCAACCTGATTTAAGATTTCGTTCACATGTTTTGTACACCGCAACTCATCACTCCAACCTGACGAAACTGAATACAAAGAATCCCAAAAAGTCTTTCATCATAAGGTCCAGTACTATAAAACTGATAAGAACGGAAGTAAAGATAAAATTGGAGTGGATTAACTAAAGGTCAGTTACTATGAGCGTAAAACCTTTGTTAATCTCACGCCACAAGATCAAACGATACAGCCTTCAAAACTCCGAAGCCCTCCCCAAAGGTGTACGGTCATGAGGAGACGCACCTGGTACCTGAAAATCAGCCGGACACGACGTGGTGGGGGGAGGGCTTAAGGTCTCTAGAGAGGCTACGACGTTTAGGACATTCTACAAGGATACTAATTGTTATCTAATTTCCTGTGTTTTACCATAAATTTGTCGCATTTTTAACTTCTGCCGCATCGAAAAAGTAATAGCAGATTTTTTAAAAATGTATTTATCCACATATTATTAAGAAACAAATAAAGGTACATTGACATGCATATCCATGTGTTTATTGTTTTTTTTTAAAAATTCCTCAAAATAAATTTTAGACATAACATGTAGACCCATCTCTTAAAGAATGAATAGATTTTACATACGATTTCCATTCTAGTTTATAACACATCAGTTTGAACATCTTTATATCTCAAATTTATTAGAATTCAACAGTTTCTTCTCAATTAGGTATTACCTTCCCTTAAAATTGACAGTCTTAAACGCTTTTTTCTCATAGACTGTGGTTAGCTACCCATCCTTACCTTTCAAATCAACATATCTTCTAACCAGTATCTTAGAAAATGTACCAATAATTAACTTTATAGCAGTTTGGTAAGATAAGTGGATATTTAGTTTCCAATACAGAAGCTTTGAATGTCTGATTTCCTCCTAACACAGTGCCAGAAGAATAATGGTATTCTAAAAAGTGTACAGGAACTAGCTTGAAGTAAAAAATATTAAGACACTCTACAAGCGAACGAGAGACAAACATCACAAAAGAGGAAGTGTAGTCTCTGATCAGCAAACGCGAAGATAGCAAGATAACCTCACTCTGCCTGGAAGTAGCTAACCGATTGTACTGGTGTTGTTTTCTCATGACTCTGGCTTACGTTTTTTGACTTAAAGCGGACATTACTTATTAATTGGAAATTCTGTTGAAAGCTACACGGACTCGCACAACTAAAAGATGTGGTTGGCTCATTACTTTGAAAGTTGAACGCACATGATCACAAAAACTAGAAGCACTGTACCCATTTTATGGTATTTAGATCTACATAATCTTTAACTGCTTCCGGTTACTTAATCTCTTTCGTTTTTGGGATCGTTTATTTAACACTTGCCACACTTAGGGCTTTAATTCATCTGAATATGCTCGAATTGCAGTACTTCTAACTAAAGGGATTAACTAGTCATAATTCAGTTTGTTCATCACAGTTGACCCAACTTCACTAACCAATTTTTCAGCATCATCATAATACACCCCTGGATAGAAAAATACGGCATACCACTAGTCATTACCACAGACTGCTTTACAATTATCCACTATATTCCAAGAATTTAACAGACTATCAGGAGCGATTCGAATTAATTAATTAATAGTTACATACCACCCGACACTAAATAGCTTGGCCAAATAATCCCACAGCCAAATAAAATGCTCGCCTGTTTCAATATGATATAATGGAGTGCCATCCCAACATTTGCCCTACTTTGGATCCCCCAACCATTAAAAATGATGTGCGCCACATATCAGATGTACAAGTTTACCACAATTATGGTTCTAGGACAGTTGGTCAGCTCTGAAAATAAAACACCAGCCAATCCAAACTTTGCAAATTAACTGTTACAGACTATGTAGCAGATTAAACCGTGATTTCTACGAGAGCATAACCGAGATGCAAGGCTTGAGAAACATTTGAGTACATGCGCACCCATTTTTGTTCATGTCAACCCAGTGCGAAAACCACAAGTCAAACGTTGAAGTACCTTATCAGATTACCAAAACTAAACACGTCAATATTAACAACAATGGAAAGAAGATTATCTCGATAACTACATTCTTGGACGACCAAGAAAATGTCATATTAGACAAACCCAACTCCCAGTTACAACAAAAAACACCCAACGATTGTCAAACACCCCCCAACTAAACCCCGATAAGTACTTACAAAACACAGATAAACATCTAATAATAAAAGTCAACCGGGTCCCGGAATCCGGGTGATATATATGAGCAATCCAAATCCCAAAATGCCTATATGCAGCGAACAAATCATCAATCGTTTATAAATGAATGAAAAGGCGTTCGTCCCCGTTCTGAATCTTAGAACGTTGAACGCGGAATAAAACAAAGCCTATCAAAACCAGACAACCAACTTATCGCTAACAGACAATGTACATGAAGTGACAAATCTGCACGAATAAATTATCGAGGCCCAGTCAACAAGGTATGTCTATTTTCAAGAGTTTGGCCATCGGTAACGGTAGACTTCCGACAGTTCAAACAGAAAGATGCCTATTTTCTCGAGCCTTTGTCCATAATGTTGAAAAGTAACACTCAACATAACCCGCGATAGAAGTTCTGCACATAAATTGTACTTCCAGAATACAGGAGGATGCCTTAACAAGTTCTGATTATCTTCGGCTGTCTTACTAAAACCATGAATCCACATACTATGTAAACAGCAATCTTGGGAAACCGTAGCATTCTTTTCCAACATTTCTTTCAAGAAACACGAACGCAAGTTTCATTATGATTTGAACCAATTAATTCCCCCGCTTTTGTAAACATATTACAGATACTGAGTTTATCAATAATTTAATCTTACATGAAAATGCACCAAGGAAAACATCTGTGGACCACTGGACGCCTAACGTTCTTTTTCATGAACTACTGCAAACTTCCTATAATCTAATGTTATCAATCAAACTTACTATAGGCCCTTTGGAAAACACTTTGTATTAGAACTTCAGGAGATTAATAAAAAAATCAGTCACCAATAAGTAAAGCATTTCCAGCCACTTAAAGATGGTTAATCTAAAAATAAATTTCACAAGCAAACATCATGTTCCAAATAGAGCTGGTGCACAAAATACAAATAAGGTCAATGGGAATTTTGTTTAGGTTTGATTTTCGGCCTTTATTTTACAAATTGTACCATATGCCTCGGGAATCAGTTTGAAGTCATACAGAAGCACATATTGTCGACACAAATTTTAAAGTAAGGGAAAAATATGGACATTGTTCTGCAATAGAAATTCATGCGGATAACTATTTTTGTACAACACGTGGTATTTTATTGCTTACAAGGTGAATGACTGTCTGTAATCGCATTACTGTTTCCACCTTTACATAACCTGGGCAGCATCACTGATGAACGCAGTGGATCTGATATACACGTAAGGGAGCGGATCGGCAATGAAAGAGCAGCATATCTACAACTTAGAAACGTCTGGTACTCAAAACAACTGTATGTCAACCAACACCAAAGTCAGAATTTTTAATACAAATGTCAAGACAGTTCTACTGTATGGGGAGGAAACCTGGAGAACTACGAACGCCATCATCCAGAAGATACACGTGTTTATTAACAGTTGTCTACGCAAAATACTTCGGATCCGTTGGCCAGACACTATCAGCAACAACCTACTATGGGAGAGAACAAACCAGATCGCAGTGGAGGAGGAAATCAGGAAGTGCTGGAAGTAAATAGGACACACACTGAGGAAAGCACCGAACTGCGTCAAAAGGCAAACCCTTAATTGGAATCCTCAAGGCCAAGGAGGAGAGGAAGACGAAAAACCACATTACGCCATGAAATGGAGACAGACATGAGAAGAATGAACAAAAATTGGATAGAACTAGAAAGGAAGGCCCAGAACAAAGTGAGTTAGAGAGTGCTGGTCGGCAGCCGATGCTCCATTGGGAGTAACAGGTGTTAGTAAGTTAATAAGAATCATTTAGTCACAGCGGTTTTAAAGGTTTTATTTTCATACAAAATCAAGATTTACAAGGATATTTATGTTATAAATAATCTAACGTAGAAATGATGTTGAATAGTTGTAGCTAAAACTAAGTACAATTTATAGATGTTCATAAAAAGTAATTAGAATAACAGAAATCCATTCATCTAAATTAACTGAGATGGACATGATTGAGAGTTGTAAGTATGTATGATTTCAAATATGTCTTCTTCTGTGCATGTAGATTTACCAAACAACTGTTGACGTATAATTAAAGCCAGAAGTGTGTTAAATCGTAATAATATCACATCATTATACACCCATTCATCTGATCCAACCTAAAGATAAGAATATATAATTATTGCTGTTAACATTCAATGAAAGAACAATAAAAATAACTTATGATCGAATATTTGATATAATAGAAAGGTACTAACATGAAAACTGTGAACTTTGTTGAGATCAAGCACGGAATATTTGAGCTCCACAAATACAATATAAATTAGGAAATACAGAAGTTGATAAATGAAATTTCAATCAACTTTTAATATACTACTCATGGGTAGCTAACCTAAAACAACTCCACTAGATCTTATTGAACTCAACCAATTGGTTAAACAAAGGCATTAAATTATAAACTGCATCATGATGAGTATACTAATGACTAAAACATCAATTACTGGAAGCTTGATAAGCAGATTTAAGGTTAGCATGCTCACTAAAAAGCATGAAGTTTGAAGGTATATGTATTCAGGAAACTCTGAAGTATCCCTGAAAACGAGGAATCTACGATCTAGAACAATAAAGTTTTTAGTGGTTTTCTCTTATAAGAACGAAATTGTAGAATAACTAGATAAGCAAAAAGAAGTCACAGATTTATTCACGGAAAAATTAGGTAAAGTAATAATTGACCAAATACAATAGCCTGTAACATAATTATGATGGCCATGAAATCAATGTGACTGAAATGCACTAAGGACTCACAATATAAAAATATAGCTGTTTAAAATCTTTAATTTGAAGTTGGTCTTTGTTAGCGGGACATAGATTGGATTAAAGCATGTTTCATGCACGATTGCATTAGTGCACGCTGATTGTCTAATTCTTATCCAATCAACGCTAGTCGATACTCGGAGGACGCTAGAATCTTCTCATGTAAAAACTAAAAATATATTATCGCTTTTCTTGTTGTGCTTCTTACTGCCATCTACCCTTGTTATTTGGAATAGAATCTCTGTCCCTGTACAACCGTATTCTGATTTGGGGGAACTTGTCGAGTGAATCGGTATCCAAGAATACTAAGTGATAGGAATAGCTGAGTTGTAACAAGAGAAATTTATAATAATTTTAATCTGCCTTAATACTTCTAAAATATCCTACAAACTTCTAAGATTGTAAACTCTATTTTCAATATATTTGAGCAATAACGTTATCTTGAATCAATTATATTGAAAGACAATTACGTCAATCTATATATATCGACATGTAAAGTGTATATAACAAGGTGACAACATTATGAGTTCTTACTAACTGAAAGAATTGAATACTATAATAATGCATTTCTTGTTTATCACTAATTACCAACCTATTTCGCTATCCACTATATAAAACTCAAAAGTGTATAACTTACTTTGTCCAATAATACTTCAGGCAATTGTTTAACAATATCAAATGCCAAATATTGTAATTCTTTAAGAACATCCGATTTAGCAATAAACCATTTTTCATTTAAATAACGATTAATTTTACAACCAGATGCTAACAGTTTCAAAAACCGTAATCGAAAATCTTGTATTTTATCAGTCTTAAGAATAATGTAGGAAATTTATCATAACCAATATGAAAAGTACAAGTAATTACTAAAAATGACTAAATATCAAATTGTTAAAATTTAATAAAAACGGAACACAATGATTCAAATAAACAATAGATGATATTCCATGGGAACAAATTCGACTGATTGTTTGATAGTTATTCGTGAACGTAAGATTATTTTTGTTGTAACGGGTGTGACTGCAGGTTTTGATAAGCAGTGTTTTATTGATCGATTCGGTGACAGTGTAAAACACGTAGAGTATGTTACTAGTATTCGATCATAGGTGTCTTCGAAACATTGCTCGTATATCATAGGACCATCGAGTAAGTAACACAGTTGTTAGGAAATGAGTACTAGGTAAGGATGGCAAATCAATTGATGAAGTAGTGAAACTTCGTCAGTTGAGATGGCTGGGACACGTGTTACGTATGCCCAACGACCGACTACCTCGACGTGCTATGTTCAGTGGTATAGGAGTAGGTTGGAAGAAAGCTAGGGGCGGCCAAAACGAAACATGGCACAAGTCCATGAAGTCACTGACAAGTGGACTGAGTCATGTTGGTAGGTGTAGACTACCTGGTTGGGATCCACGAGATTATAACAATCGATTGTTAGAAACCTTGAATGACATGGCTCAAAATCGTTTGCAATGGCGCAGGTGCATCCACTCTTTGTGTTCTCCCAAATTCTAATCTTCTGAATTCTTCGTGTCCCTTTTTTCCTCTTTCCAAATTTATTTCACTGGATTATACTCTTACTACCTCTACCACTACAAGATTTGAATCGACAACTGCATCTCTGTGCTAATGTGGTGTGGCAACTCGAACTGATGTACGTACGTACGAAGTTCTACGTTGTTACTGACTGACGTACGAACAACCTAGTGCCCTGATTGGCCCTGCTTCCCTGTCTATCCCAGCCAGTTGAGTCCAAAACACAAGTTACGGCCTCTGAGTTATGAATCATTTTTTTCAGACATACTCTATTTATATACCCAACAAACAAACCACATCGTACCATAAAATAGAAAACAACATTTACACAATATTTTACAAGTGAAACAAACACCGGCCAATAGGGAGTGTACATTTAAGGTCCAAGGCCACTATAGACTTAACACGATAATTATTGGTATATTTTTCCGACTATACTAACACCTCCCTTTTTTTGAAAGATCCGGAGTTAATATCTCGATTTTGAAATTTTCTGCGCCCGTCCTCCCCCGCGAAATAACGTTGGGTCCTCATATACCCAAGTAACAGTTAGTCTGATTCTATTTAAAGCATATTTCGCACATTGAGTAGAGGGTTCACTAAAACTGACTAGATGATGAGGATTAGCGACACCAGACATGAGGTCATTAAGGTTTGATTCTTGTGAAACATATTCATCAGACCTCTTCAAAATTCCATCAGTGGATAATAGGTCACTAAAATAAACAGCATCTTTGAATTGAATTGAGGGCATTTGTTAAGCAAATACATGAAAAGTCCCGACTATCGTAACAATTTTTAATGCATGAATTGATGACGAAGTGAGAGTTAATATTCTACTACAATCTCCAAAGAACTGATCAAAGTTTTAACATTCAAATTTAGCCACAGAGCATCAAAGGTATGTGAATGAATAGGGGATGCAATCGATTAACAGTGATGCAGAATGATATGAATTCATTATATTTCGCAGTTTCGCATCAGTTGCTTACAACCATATATGTATTGAAAGGTAACATTGAGGTATGATATAATGTGAAACAATCGACACTGTACAAGTTGCGACAGACTGGTTGAACAAAACCGATATAATACCTTTATCAGCCTTATTTTCAAGTTAAAAACTTTGAATAGAACAAGAACATTTGAAAAAAAGTAGATTCAGTATAACACATAACAGTTCTAATATTCAATAGCCATTTGATATTGAAATAATAATTGTAACTATATTTGCTCTAAGCGATATCATCGTATTTTAACACACATTCATCTAATTATCCTTTAAATAAATAAATTTGTTAATACTTCCCCGTCCATACTTTGAGTATTCGACAATTAGGCTACCACTTAACCTAGCCAACATCTTTTCAGAAAACCAATTTAAATATGATGATAACACTTTATGTACATTCCAACAACAACAACAACAACAAAACTGTTTCAGGTTATAACGAACCCATACTTCTCTTTTTCTATTATTCCTTTTCTTCCACTTGAATTTATGATGGAATAAATTGTATGTTATGCTGGAGAAAACAAGACTGTGATATGGAAATATACTATAAGTTTATTGTTGACAATCACAAAAACTTGTATTTTCAAAGAATTGTATAAGGCTTTGCATTAACTATATGGTTTCAGCAGGTATTTTAGTTTTATTAAGTTTCCCAATTAGATTCCATACTGCAACAATTGACCGCAAAAGGATTTCTAGTCAATATAATTCATTTTACTCTTACTAAATCATAACTACCTTAAATGCTTTTAAGTGTTTAATGACACCGTTTTCAAACTACTTTCAGACATTTGGTAACAGCATCGACTCACTTCAGACAAAAAAAGCGTTAAAACTTTGATTAAGTCGATAGAACTAACAGTTTCTATTTCTTGATTATAGAGATTTATCAAAAAATATGTTCGATCATCGCTACAAAATTAGTATAATATGCAACTTGGGCAAATAAATGTGATAAGACACTGAGCGCGAATTGGTAAAGACATATTATTGAGTATTTAATTTGTGATTTCCTGCCTAATAATGATTTCTACCCTGGGCTCATTGAGTGTAGACTGCTTGTAATAGTGTCGAATAAAATACTGTTTGGTCTATCCTCTAGTTATCTATACTTGATTGGAAATCGTGGCTTGCTTCGGTTTGGGCACCCGGACAGAATCCCAGCCCTTATATTAAATCGAATGATTTATATGGCGCACATCTATTCGGTGCCTCCTTGTACCAATGTTTATGTGTTTAAATAAATAAATGAAGTCTGTTAAAACGTGATCCAGTATGTGCATAGCATATCGAACGATTATTCAGTGTAGTGGTAGCATTACCTCAGTCACACGTCGCATTACCGTATAATGGTAGTATATCGCTGAACACAGGAAATATTCTTAATTCCCCCGTTACATCATCAGTTAGATATGTCTTCGATCATTCGATGACTTTTCACAATTGCTTACAAGATTTACAAACAGCTGACCGTTTTGAATTGTTATTTAGCTATATTTCTAGAAGCAGTCTTATTACTAAGCAATTCGTCGTCTGAATCTGAATAAATTCGGCTAAACCATGAGCATATATCCCACGTTTTACGTTGCAGATGACTGACTGAAGCGAAGCATTTATTTCTACCTAATACATATGAGTTTTCAATATATATGAAGTGCAAAATACGCTGAAGTTAATACCATTTTCAGTATCATATAATGATAATAACTGGCTGGCTGAACCAAAGTACAAGAAGAGGTACTTCGACCTTCAACTCGGTGATCAATAGTCAAGTAGTTTAGCCACCGGGGTTAGTGTACTTGTGACAGTCATGTTTTATGTCTGGACATGTAGATGTCTCGCCGGGAAGATAAGTGACTCACTTTTTCAAATGCCTAAGGAGTTTTAATCACCCTCTGGAATAGCAGTATTGAGAGCAAAAAATCCCGCGGAACACTACTTACTAGCCTCAACCAACTAAGCAAACAACGAGGAATATCGTTACTTAACATTTAAAAAGATATTCATCAGATGTTGACATAATTTTACAAGACCAGAACCAAAGCTAATCACGAGTGTAACAAAAAACTGGGATATACGGGATGGATAACTGGACTAGTTGATTTTTTCATCAGAAAATTAAAAAAAAACATTGTTTTGGGAAACACGTGCGTATACACTGCCAGAAAACAAAAACTGTATACAGACAGAATAAATCAGTAGAATACTGACATATTATAACTAACTCACTGGATCTGATGCAGGAAAATACTGATTCAATTTGGTAAAACACGGTGTATAGTCACTTGTTGATGAAAACGATTCCAAGTATAAATGCATAATCTAAATTGCAGCAAGATAAAAGAATTTCTTTGTCTGATTAATTAATCCGGGAGAACAGGATTCTAGAGAAATAAAAACTTAGTGCTAAATGATTTTTCTTAGTTTTGGGGTATAGCGATGGCATAAGTCTCATCTACACTTTAAGCATCATCCCAGAAAGTATATTTGTTCGCATAAATCTTTGAAACTCAAACTTAATCATTCATAATATAATCTCCTCCCCACCTCAGTTACTACCGTGCTTTCTTTGATACATGACGGATAAACTGTCACTACTCATACAGGAAGTACTTAGTAGATCCAGCTTTTATCACCAAAGACTAGACCGCAATAAAATAATTACACGGTTTTAAAACTATTCACATGGAAATGAAAAACGGAAAAGACGGACAACAGTTAACTTTATTTAGTGAATCCTATAGCTAACCTTAAGGATGTTTAGAACATGATAAAAAAGCACCAAGTTCTCGATGAGTCCTACCCACTCGCGACCTTAAGGATGAGTAGTGAGATTATCCTCTCCACCAACCAACAAATTGTGTTAACTAGGTTATAACGGTTTAAGTGCTATGTAATTGCTCCACAAGCTTAAAAACGATTTTACCAGTGATGTGCTCGAGCAAACTCAGCTAACAGAGCTGAAAACTTTAGTTGAGATGCTCAAAGCTAGCTAACTAGTTACCCAATCGTAAATTGGATGAAACGTCAACAAATTATTAACAAACAACAGAGTATAATTAGATTTCAAAACATAAGAATACGATCGCCAATATTTTAAAGCAAATGAAAACATCGCACTTCAACAATTCTAACTTCATCAAATGAGTTTGCGAACATGATATAAAAATAAAACTCCAAAACATATATCTATGCTTGTCAAGCGTTCTCAAGATCGGTTGGTCGACAATTGGGTCCGGAAACTCCTAACTAATAAAAAAAACACTTTAACAACATTTGTACATACATCTGTTAATCTTCTACGCCGTTGTCTATAATTATTTTAATAACGAAAATAAGAATACCTGGAATTTCGGACAAAATATGTGCCCTTATGTAGCAACAATAAAAATCACATTGATGCACAACAACATAGCATCCAAGTGAAAACTTACAACACGTCTGGCTTCATTCAAGTACTTGTGAAGATGTGGTTTATATCGAGACGAATCATCCAATCTTGAAAATAGATCATCCCCTACTGTAATCAAAATTTCTAACTGATTTTGCCAATCACTGGATAAACTTAAATTGTTGGAAGTATTCTCAACAAAATTCCCATCTGGAGTCTTGGGAAATAACATCGCTGCACAACACCACACACAAAAAGGAGGTGGTTCATAGGACAAATGACTGTAAAGCTGAATGACTAAAAGAAGAGAAAGAATGTGTCAAGTACACAATTTATGCTCGTTTTATAAGAACCATTGCGAAAAAGATACTCATTTGCCAAATCTTGCAATTTTAAATTATCGATGGAATTTAATCAACTGATCGCTTTTAAATTAACTTGTATTTTCAGCAAAACTTTAACTCTATGATACGATGGTCTGACTAATAAAATAATTGAGTGAATTTGACTAAACGATGACTCCAATGGTGAGTAAATGGATAGATTTGTTCAAAGAACTAAGCTCCTATTCCCAATTGAGCAAATTTTAGAAGACAGAACTACTAACCAACTGGCTAAGTGTACCTAACTGAAATAAATCTCCAGCTTATATACATAATGTTAAAACAGAATTATAAGAATACAGGATAATTATCAAAGCAATCAATTAACGGTGCGTTTGAGGTTAAAACATCTAGAGGCTGAGATTCGCCCATTGCATCACTTTTCAGTTTAGACTTACTACTAACCCTTCACTAATGTCATCACAAGCGACAGATATTTTTAAAATGTCAATTTAACCTGAATCATATGCGGAATTTATGAAACTAGGAAGAAGGATATAATTGTAATAAAAACTATATTTTTTACCTTCTTTTGTTACTGCTGTATACCCCTTTCGAAGAACGAATATTAGAATAGTATTAAGCAGGAATTTGTCACGACTTCCTGATTAGTAGGTGTTTAGACACTGGAACAAGCTTACCATGTAGTCCAATTAACTCTTCATTTATATGAAGATCGACTGTACCACTCTGTTTTATGAAAAAGAAGGTATATAAATAATGTTTGACACTCGAAAAAATCACACTCAAAAAGACACGTACATGGTACTATCTCAGGCACAGAACTACAATGAGCTAAAGTGAAATATACGATCAAAGCAGCAAAATGATGGCTACAGAATAATACAATGACTAGAACTTAGAGGGAAGAGTATGCCTACACACAGTACTGCTACCGATCACAAATTATACTGCCCAGTCACTAACAACCGACTGTAAGTAAACTAAATCCCAAGCTCGAAGCCTGGATCCTCTTACAAGGATCAGATCAATAATCAATAACTTTGGGGATTCATCCTTGTCTATTATACAGTCCAATCCCTACAACCTACTCCAAACATAAGCTGAGGGACATGATGGTTAACGAAGTATATCTCGTTACAACCCCAATACTCAATCACTTTCTATGTCACGTTTAACACCTGTAAACAACCACTTTTTCGATGTGTTGAGTATCGTCTGGAAGCCTTAGTGGTGACCCTAATACCTGGATTTCGGGTTTTTCCGTCATATGAAAATTCGTAGATTTTAACAGAATCTAGGGAAATACTGGGAGAAAACCGGAACTCCAAGTTATTATGGGTAAACAACACAGACCAGGTGAAATTTTGGGCTTATGTCGCACTTCCCCAAAGTCAGGATTGGGACACTCCTGTGAAACGTTTAAGTGTTTTGAGTGACGGTTAGGAATAAACCTGGGATATGAAGATCCGACCTCATTATTTTGGGAAAAACTGTTCGTTCTGAGGAAGCTACAAAAGAAAATTCAGAAGAAATGATACGAAAACCCAAAAAAAACTTCTGGGATAATTTCTTTAAAATCTAGAAATGAGGAACCAACGGGTTTAAGACGAATAGTTGGTTTGCAAGAAAGTAAAACATAACTCAATGTATACATAGATCATAAGCAAACGCACATTCGTAGACCATGTCTTAGGTACGAAGAGCAAGACAAAATGCTGAAACAATAAACGGATTATTCAGTGCAGCCTTACCAATTTATTCATAAGTCATAGGGTGTAATATATGGCTTGGAACAATGTTAAAGATGAAATCAAGTGGTAAGAAATCAGGACTCAAATTCGGCAGTGCGGCCTCGAGTTACAGAGTCGAGATAAGTTAAAACAAATAGTATTTTAAAACGTATAATAATTGTTGCCGTTATTCTCCATATTCATTACACGTCAAATTTTGTTCTGTGTTTGAAAATTTTTATTTCGGTTCGTCCGTTATTTCGTCTATAATGGCATGTACATTCAGTGATTCATTATCCTTTGATACGGAAGGCAGCTTCAATCCTAGCAACACCGCTTAGTGTAATATTCTGACGCTCACTAAGCAGAGATACATTACCGGAAATTTGGAAGCTGGCTCACATCACACCGATTTTAAGAGGAGCTCGACGCTGGGAACCTTCAAACTACCGATCGGTGCCACTGCTCCCTATACCTTCAAAAATTATGGAGTCCCTTATATGCGACGGCACAAACGACTATTTATTGTCCTCAAACTCATTTTCGCCTTAACATCATGGTTTCAGGAAGGGCCACTCTTGTATAACCAACTTGTTCACTGCGTAGACAGATAGACAGCCATCCTCGATTGCAAGGGTAATTAATGTTGACGCCATCTACCGTGACTTCTCAAAAGCTTTTGATAGAGTCAGCCATACATGTCTTATCAATACATTCAAACGATTGGGTATCAAAATGCTTCTAAATGAATGGCTCACTTCACATCTAAAAACACGACATTTTAGGCTCAGTGTTAACTCCGATTTCTCTCAAGCTAAGGACTGTCCTAGCGGGGTTCCACAGGATTCTGTACTGTGACATCTTTTCTTGATTTATAAAAACGACCTTCCACAACAGGTATCGTCTGACTTATTACTTTTTGCTGATGATGTGAAACTTTGTAGAGAGGTACGCAACCAAGGGGATATACCGGCACTTCAGGAAGATCTGACTCGACTTCAAATTTGGGCAGACAATAACGGACTTACCTTTAGCACTTCAAAGTGTGAAGTGGTCCACCTGTGATATGTTGCGGACTACAGTTACAACTTAAGAAACTCCCCTCTAGAAGTAACCCAAGTTGAAAAAGATTTAGGAGTGCTGGTACCCTACTACTTGAAGTCTTGCGCTAACTGTGAAAAAATGCCTTTCGAGCAAACCTTGAAATGCACTTTTGGCCAGTATGGAGGGAGAACTTTCCACATGATCTCCAACGGTTTTATTCGTCACCATTTAGAATACGGAAACATAGTATTTCCTTATGAAGAGCGCCTTCCAATCACTAAACTTTTACCTATTATAGTACAGACGTCATAGAGGTGACCTTCTAATGGCCTACAGTATCCTTAACACTTCTGGATAACGGCTTAAATGCCTACTTAAGTTTATCCCTAACAAAAACCTAAGGTGTAACACCCAGAAAATAGAAACATAACACAGCAGAACGAACTGTATACCCAACTTCTACTCCTTAAGATTAGTCAAATGCTGGAATTCGCTGCCGGCTGAGATAATCCAAGCGACTCACCAGGAGTCCTTTAAGAGGAAATTTGAACTATTCTTAAGGAGTATGGGCAATATCTTACTATGCTTTGCCTATTTCTTTTTCCTCTATTTTTGTAAATATACCTAGGTTCCTGCCTGGAGGTATTGGTGATTCACTGCTACTAGACTCGTGAGCCCGGTAAGCAAAAGCTTCTATTCCGTCTACAACCGTTTGCACCGTTTTGATTTATGCAACGGCTGAAACGTAGACCACGATTTTTTCCTTTGTTAGTGGCACTGTTTGTAACCCCGTGTATGTCGGTGTAAATAAAAAAGGGCAAAATTGATTGGTTGATTAATACTCACCTTACTGTTGTTATTCAGACTAACTCTATCTCATTTATCTATTCTTTTGCATTACAAACCACGGCTGGTGACTGAAGATTATAATAGTTTTATAACATCTTTTCAGTGGCTGGACTTTCGGTCGGGATTATTATGCAGTAACACCATCGGACTTATTATTCGCGTCACGCTATCACTAGGTGCAGAGGAACATTTGTAAGTCGAGTGGACTCATTTGTGATTGTTATCCCAGAAGGGTCTTATAAGCAACATTCAGTTCATAAAATTTTTTATCATTTAACATACGATGTTGTTGTAAGTGCTATTTGTTACTTTGCTATATTCATAGACAGCCACTCCGATTTGAAATGTCGACATTCACTTGATTTTCCGAAAATTTAAAATTTTCAGTCGATTCAAGATTAGTAAGAGGATGATCGGAAGTCATCCAAAGAGCACGCACGATGGTCACTAAAATAGCTTTTAAACGACTTGAATGCCGCCTTGATGTCTAACAACTCAACAAAATGAAAGGAATTCCGGACCGCAGCTCTCATATTCATCAATCCGAAAGACAATTCTGACCTTCTTTTTAGTCTGCAGGACAACAACAATAGGAAGCTTTCAGAACAATTAATGGTTGCACTGAAGAGATTAGGATATCAGCTAAAACCGTTGAACACAACGAAAGTCAGTAACACAATGACAAGCTAAACTATTCCAATGCTCCACAGCTCTGGTAGCTAGAGCGAAAAGACTATATTCAGCTTGGAGAAATGTTTATTCGACGAGCAGCCGAAAGCACGGGCGGACAAACATATAACTCATGAATACGTATACGGCACAAAAATGTTATTGGCGAATATCACAAAATAGTGTACCGAAAGAGGAGACGAACCAAAGACACTTAAGGTCCTTCCAAGTGTGTAATACAAACTGAAAATGAAAGTCGGCGCTTACGATGTAAAAATGGGAAACTCAAACATTAAAAATCAATTTACAAAAGTAAAGCGTTTACGAAGTTTTTTTCTGGGGATCTAGCATCCTTAAAAATCTTTCTCTGAATAATAATCGTAAAGAATTAACAACTCAAGTAATGTCGAGTAAAAACCCTAATGAGTTGAAAATTTGATTTCATGTTCTCATCCCATTGTATCAGTAAGAATACTATGGAGAAGGAAATTCACTGGAATTCAGTTCTATGTGATTGATGTAAAACTCCGAAATCACTCAAGACTTCGTGTAAAGTCCACTAACAGTGCTGACTTAAAGGACGATCTGCTGACCAGCCACTTGCTGAAATCACAAAATAATGTAAAGATACTGCCTGATATACCATATTCTGAGCACAATCAGAAACATCCCTAAGGAGTCTTGCGAGACATTCTTTCGCGGATGTCTCGAAAAACAGGGATCCTGATTATGAAAATTCTGATATTCAGGGGTGTGAAATTCATAAAGCAGTCCTTGAAGCTCAAGAACATAATGACTGAACAAGCGGTGCGACTATCCAAGGAGGACGAGGATTGTAGACCCCGGCTAACGAAGATAACCTCCCTACTCTCCTCAATAGGGAGTGCTCCTCTCGAATAATTTCATACTAACAGAAGCCGGGGATCAGCTGGAATCCACGTGCATCTGGACAAGCGATATGAAGCAAGGATTAAGCGCATAGGCAAATTGTAGACGATTACTCTACTTGTGGATTGTCAAGAACAGGGTAAAAACATAGAAGGGACAGGTATCACTAAAATACAGCTTCTAAACAAAACCATTTTTAGTGGCCCAGATATAGTTCATTTTGTTATACTGTGAGAGGCAGCCTAATGTTATATTCCCACACTCGTTAAGTCGTGACACGACGCAAGAAAACGGGAGGCTAACGCACATAACATCAGTTCTTAGGAGGCCGACGCAGTAAACTATCAAGCTACTGGCCGGCAGCATTTCTCTCAATACATTTGAAAGTCTTGAAGTCCCTGATTTGCAATGATCTGCGCAACTACTTGTTATCCATAAACTTCTTTTCACCCCGACAGCACGGCTTCGGGAAGAGACACCCTTGTGTAACCAACCTGACGACCATCCTTGATCGCAAATATAAGGTTCACGTAGCGTACGGTGACTTCCTAGGTGCTTTTGATAGAGTAATACGGATATGTCACGTCAATAATCTCAGATCGCTAGGTAACAAGTCACTGTTAATTTATTGATTTCATATTTAAACGATCGACATTTTAGCATCAGGGTTAACTTGACAATTTTCAGGCTTCAGAATGTCCTGGCAGAGTCTCTCAGATTTCGACATTGGGACCTCTTCTTTTAATCGCCGAAAACTCCCATTGTACTAAAGCACAATTGTACGAACGAAGAATACCCTTTTCAATAATTCCTCATCAGGTTCTACGATTATATATCCAAATTCGTAATTCATGATATTGGCTAGGTTTGAGGCATTTAAAAATATAACACGTGAATCAACGATCTCATATAACATACAATCCTTGAATCACATGTCATAATTCTAAATGATGGACTTCGTCTTAAACCTGGCCAATTTTCTGGATTGCTTGTTCTTTTTTTCTTAATTTATGTAAATTACTTTACTCGGTAAGTATAGTCCGACGAATTACTTTCCTCTGTCTATGTGAAACTTTGGAAAGGAATTTGCGGTCAAGATGGCTCTTCGGAATGATCTGATTCGACTTTAAAATTGAGCGGATATAAACGAACTTGTAGAATTGTGGCCTAGTTTGTTATTAGTACTGCTGTTATACTAGACCTTATCCTCAAATTGTAGATTTGTCATGGTTTAACTACCTTATCTATGAGATCTTACGTGGAAGTTCCACCATTGTCTATTCTGACTCGTCGTATCGTACAATCACAATATAATGTTTGGTGTTTCCAAAGGACAAATTAGGTCCGGAGATGGAACAATATATCTAATATGAATAGGAAAGATAGGCTACATAACAATGACCATGCCTGCAAGTTTGAGCCTTGCCACCCGATTGAATTAATCGAATGTTCTGGCGTGCCTATTGTCGACTTGTTTGTGTTAATTGTTGAATATAAATCTTTTCAGTAATTATATGTTAGGCTTAAAAGGTTATATTGTTAGGAACCAATGCCACCACGGATTCAAATTCAACACTTCAGAGTGTAAAGTAGTCTGAGACATGTTACAGGCAACAAATATAAACTAGGTAACTCCCAAGTTAAAAAAATTAGGATTGTTGGTATCCCATTGTGTGAAATC